AAGCTGTTTCGATAAGACCTTGTTAAGCTCAACTATATCCAGCAAAGCCAGCTGAGTAAAATATATTACTTTACACTTTTCAAAATGTCAGTTTGTTCCAATTTTTACCCCTCTCAAAAAATGTACATTTTTTAAGCTAAAGCTGCGTTGAGAATTTTGTAGAGTTTTGAAATGAATATTTGCTTAAGTGAATTATTTGCTCATTCTTTATATAGTATCTGAAGAAAACACCGCAGAAGATATTGATCTATACGTCTAAAATTGTATACATTTCCTCCTTATATGCTCCCTGCATTTGTTGTTAAATTCTGTTTTCATTTGAGAGTTTTTCTGTGGAATGCGTTTACATTTATCTGCTATTCCTTAAACATATTCACAATTATGAAATTGTTTTATTTTGGTTACTAGAGCTGAATTCATATATCACACATCTACTTGGGCCTTTATAAATTAATTGTAAAACTCAATTCACTTATGACGAGCAATCCAGAAAAGCAAGCCATAGTCTAAAGAACAAAATAATAACATATACAATATATAATTTAAGGCTTATTAAATAATTGAATACTGCCAATCAGTTAATTGACTCAATTATATATGCTAAAAATCAATGAATTCCCACAATTTAATCCAAAGCAACCAAAAATGCTCACAAATTGTTGAACACATTGAAGCCAATAAAATTCGAATATCTCTCACTTGAAAATTAAAGTCAAGTCAACAAGCCCCATGCCACAGGCAGTCGGAGGCTAAGTGCAACCGCGTGCTGTATCTGTAAGTCGTCATAAAAAAGAAGTCAACAAGCAAACAGTCAAATAGTAGACGAGCATCAAGCTGAGTCTCAGACGGCACCAAAATTGCTAAGCAAATAGCGCAAGGCGATGACTTTGCCTCCAGCCAGGGGGCTAGGGGTAGGATTTACTGTGACAACTGCCAAACATGCCGCACAACATACACAGCTATCTGCCCGCCCCACTCAACCCCTCTGCTTGCCCCGCACGCATGCTCCCAGTTGTTGCTCGCTGCCCGCGCAAATAAATATTTGTGCATATTTAGCTGAGTGCCCGCTCTCCGTCCGTTCATGCCACATAAAGTTCAGCACACTTTGCAACTGCAGTGCGTGAAGCATGATTTGATGCAACAACAACAATAACAAAACTGAAAGAAAAACAAATCAAAAAGCACAAAAAAAACTAAATAGTGAAGAACTCTCGGGTAACACAAACAAGCTGCCGGCTGTGCAGCGAAACACAAAACTATTTGCCACAAGTTGTAGCGGGGCGCGTGCAAGTGGCAGCAATTGAAAAGAAGCCAGAGCAAAAAAGAAAAGAAGCTGGGAGCAAAAAATGCAGCGGGCAGTCGGAAAATCAAATAAGCATCAAAACAAAACAAAATATGTCGCCGCAGGACGTGAGTCATGGACTGACAGAGCAACTGTCAAGGAATTTATATAAAACAAGTAAGAAATCTCGTCAGTCGAAGGAGTAGAACCGACTGGAATATACCTTGCCTGAACCCCGTCCAATCGACCTTTTCTTCCATTGCTTTTATATAAATCTATCATAAAGAGGAGGAAAAATTAACTTGTGAATACCAGGTTTCGAGCCAACATATATATAAGCACCGATCACCACCAGCGACTTCACTGCTTTACACGAGGATTGCAAATTTAAAATAAAGTAGCATTTAAAATAAAGATTCAAGTGCACTTCAATCGCAATTGTGATTCTTCGAATAGAAAAGAATGCTTGAAGTAGAATGAATAGCAAAAATGCTTCGGCAGATTGGATTCGAATTAAATTTTCAGCATATTTCTACATATTTTATAGGAGTACTTGTCAATTTAACAAAAATGCAAACTCTTTCGTACATTAGCACTATGACCAACCGAAGCCGATATTCAAAATATATAAAAAATTAAAATAAATGAAAATAGACACAAAACCAAATAGAAATTTAGGAGACTTTAGCTCTTAAGCCGTACGAAATATGATTTTATAACTGTAAAATTGTCGTCTCTAGCTTTTATATGTGGTGAGCTCGACGCACTCACACATACGGACAGACGGACGGACAGGGCTAAATCGGTTAGCTTGTCGTTCTGATCAAAAATAGATATTCAATTGGGTTACATACATATTGAGAAAACCATTATACCCTGATTTGCGATTTTCAATGGGTTCAGGGTATAGGAATCTTCAAAGCAAAATAGGGAAGAGAGGGAAAAGGATTCAAAATACAAAGCTATCAAGTAACATAAGCATATGTTTCCCATAAATTCGTTTGTATATGTATTCGGGGACTTTCAATGTGACTTCTTACTTCAAACTAAATAAATAATACTTTTGATTTTATAATAGTTTGTGAATGTCAATTGTTTGAGATATAAAGAAATTTTGAATGTATAGACTAATTTTTTAATTTAAATATGTTTTTGGTGAATTGCAATACATAAATCTCTCTAAATTTAATGCCATATCTTAAAACTTGTTTTAAGTAAATTGATCTGGATTTAACCAAGATATCAGGTTACGATTATATTATTATATATTGTTACAGCTTTATATATATTTAGAAAATTTTTTTCATATTCATATACAAATATAAACTCAAAAAATAAAATAAATAAATAAATAATAGATGTATTTATTCGTCTACTGAATAAATTCTTATTTAATTACTTAACTTATATTCTGAGTAAGCTCGCAGTATTAATTGGTTATAAACAGTTATAGCCTTTCTTTTAGACAGGTAATACAAAATTCAATCAGCAGGACAGAGCCAGAATATAGCTAACAAAATTGTTAATAGACTCTACCCAGCTGGATGCTAATCTGTCGACATATTTAAATAACAGAAAAGTTGGAATTGTTTTAATGTCATTATTTAATTTTTGTTTTTAAGGTACAAAGCTCGTTAATCGGTTCAAATATAGTATTTTAAATTGGAAAGTTTAAATAGAGTCTATTGAAATGCGTTAGGTCAATTCAGGCAAAGGAGCTGGTCAACAGCAGGACTTGCACTCTTTTGTGGCGCTGTGTCAGCTCGCACACTTGCACGAGTAGGTGTGTGTGAGCGTGTGGGCGGGTGTGCGTGTGTATGTGTGTAGCTTCATGCACTTCCGGGTGTTTCGTGTCTCATTGGAACGGAAATAGCAGCTTGAACACGCTTACCCACCCACACACACGCACGCTCATACAAACACAAACACATTAACACAAAAACACAAACACGCTCACACACACACTTACACACCCATGCACATACACAAACACAAGCTTTACAATCAACTGACAGCGGGGCAGATCGTAAATTCAATGCTTGACTTTTGGCTTTTGAGCCTCATCAATTGAAAATTTTGCATTTTGCATTTAGCATTTTGGCACGGATTCTGGAGACAGCTCCTGTGGACATCTCACGTGGTCACCTGCCGCACTTTAGCGAGCTCAGCTACAACGGTAAGGGAAAATACCAGCTGCTGCTGCTGCGGCTTTATGGAAAACCTTTTGCGCTGCCCATGCATAAAAGTTCCAGCAGTTTGACTATCGCTCAGAGCCACTTGAAATTAAAGCGCTATGGCCAAGGCACGCCAAAGGAAAGGAATATAAGAAATCCAAATTCTTATTAGATTTGAAAATTTGATTAATTTAATTGCTTTTTTGACTATCTTTCAGTAGTCACACACAGCCTCTCCTGATCCTGATTAGAAAAAGAATATATACATTTAATTTCCTATACTATCGTATCTCAACTATCCTTGCTCAAAACAAAGAATTAATTTAATTAGCCCATTCAATACAATAGCAGAGCAGGGGCTAGGCATCTTTAGGCTCTTAAAATTCTATTAGACTCATTAAATTGTTTTATATAGTTTAGACTAAAGACGACAAAGTAATATTTAATATAAATTAGAGTTCACTGTAAAAAATAAAATATATAAACGATTTCTTAATTGGAAAGAAACTCCAAGCTTTTCCCTTTTGTACTCGCTGGCTCAAGACTTATTTAATAATTTTAAGAAATATGTTTTTCTAGTACAGTTTTATAGATAGAGTTTCAAAGCTCAACACGTTTATCCGAATAGAATAGTGGTTCCCATTCGGAAACCAAATCTCGTTCGTTCCTTCATCATCTCAAGCTGATGCCGATTATATCCGCAGTCATAACATGTGCAGTTTGGATTGGTAGCATGGTTCCATCCTATGCATAGTTACTCGCAAAGTCATTGGAGTAATACACATCTGATGCCCTCCAACATACCCCACAGCAGCCACAGCTGTTCTCATTAAGTTCGATTTCATTAATGAAAGGTGACAAAACTACTTTCTTGCAACCTTGTCATTGACCTGTGCTTTTCAGCTGCCACGCCTATATTAGAACCATTAGTATTCCAATTATCAATTTGAAAATACGTTTTATATTTATTTACATATTATTTTTATTACATTTTGAATTCGGAAACTCTGGAACTTTAACAAGTTTGTTAAAATTAAATACACATCTCTTTGTTTGTCGAAAAGCAGTAAGAAGCACAAGAAATACTTGTTTTGAATTTAATTTTTCTCTTTGAGCGGTGCCTCGTTCGCCCATTTATTTAGATACATAATAAATAAAATGCAACTGAAATAAAAGTTGTATTCTTTTTTATTTAATTTATTTTAGATGGTAAATAGAAGGAAGACAAGTATATTGTTAGCAAGTTAAAATTCAACTATAGAACGGTACTAAATCAACCCACGAGCAGGAGCTACACCTCAGATAGCTTGTGCTGCTGCAGGTCTCGTGTGCATCTGCGTGCACTTCCGCATGCTTTTGTCACAATGAATCGGAAATAGCTGTCTTTACACACCTATACACATGCAGCCAGGCACTTGAATAGAGCCTGGTCAGTCGTGTGGGACGAGGTATAAACTTAAACGCTTTGCTTTCAGGCCTCAAGTGCTTAATTTGTGAAATGCAACAAATTGCTAAACGAAACAACGATTCCAAAACAAAGTGTTTATTCGTTTTTTTTTACATTTATATTGTGTCCTATGAAAAAAAAACACAAATCAACTAAAAAGAAAACTTGAAAAACAGACCTCATAAGCTTCATACTTTACATTAGACAAATTATTACGTTTATCATAATTACATATCTAAATGAACTGGAATAGTTTGCTTGCCCAGCCATCGATTCCGTTGCTGGATAGGTGTCCTGTTATTCTCTGTGTGGGTTTATTGCATTCGATATGTGTGTGTAATTGGTGTGCCAGAAAGGAACGCACATCTTAGCTAAGTTCGAAGCCCACACCGGACTGTATGGCATAGATTAGTTTTTCGCGCATCTGTTCAGCATTCTTGAAAGGCGGAAGTTTTAGCAGATTCGTGCATGTGCTGGCCGTGGGCAAGCGCTCCATATCCCCAGCGTTTTGTATAAAGAACGGTGGATCCAAATCCTAAGAAAAGAACCAATAAGTTTAAATCGATATCGTTGCGTATATAGCTCACCTTAAAGCCCAGCAAAGGGGGCCGCGAGCAGCTGGTGACAAATTTGAGCAGTTGCCGTCGCTGCAAATCGTCGAAGCCCTCCACAGCCTCCCAGAATGCGACGATTGAAGGATGTTCTGGCGTGTATTCCCCACCATACTTGCAGTGTTTTTTCAAATCCTCTAAATCGATAGGTATTTCGGCGCCCGAAATGAGTATTTGCAGCTCTTTGTTGCTGAACATATAAAGCCACTCGATGGGCAATACGTTGGACAATCCCTTGCGGAAGGCTTTGCAATGACGCTTGATTTGCACATTGAGCTTGAAGTTAGCTATCAACTGCAGGTACTCGATGCGATTCGAGTTGGTCACCGGCGTGCTCTGACCCTGAGGCTTGAGCTCCACCACTTGCGTTTGCCCTAGCGAACTGCTGGCGACTGTAAAATCCAAATTCAGTTCACTAACATCGCCCGGATAGTCTTTGAGGTAAAGTAGATTTCGATATAGCTCCGGATCTAGAGAGGCCAATTGATGTATATCCACGTCTGAATATTTGCCGGCTAGCTTGGTTAGGAAAAATTCAGCCAGCGGCAACTCAACCAATAAATTTTCATAGATTGCTTTGCCCAAAATACGACCAATGAAATAATAATGCTTTTCAAAGTCACTAAAAAGATCCGCGACATTGGGATTAGGATACAATTTGTTATCCGTCGTTACCCTAAGAACGTGACATAAATTAATATCGAATATAAATGATTTTTGAGTTCTTATCATCTTACATAAAGAATCCCCGATTGGGATCAAAAGCTGTTTTTATAAGCTCCGATAGAAATTCTCGAAATACACCACCACCATCAATGCCCGCCTCATCCAATCCCAACTGAGAAACAAACTGTATGCGAAACTTCAAGCGTAAGTCCGGTTCTGGAAGAGAAAAATCAGCTAGTGAAAAAAGAAAGCAGTAAAATAATTTAGCTTCATACCATTCTCTGGACGCAGCTTATCGTAGGCATCTTCATATAAATGCGTACGACGCACAGTTACCATAATGGAGGGGCCCTGCAGAAAAGCCTGCAGATGACCCTGCACGCGCATCTTGTTAGCAGCAACCAGTCCCTGCAGTATGCTAACACGCTTATTGAACGCCACGACGAAAGGAATTTCGCGCAATATAGTAATGGAGCGTTTTTGCTTGGTTGACATGGGCGGTCCGTTCTCAAAGTCCTCACGTGTGAAATCGCGTATGGGCTGAAATGGGCGTATGCCCCTCAAGCGACTGCTGTGTGTCAAGGGCAGATCCGTTGGTCTATCCAGTGGCAAATCCAATCGAGAAACAGTCCAATGACCTTCGGGACAAAAGCCCAAACGTAAATCACGTGAGTGTATTTGATTGAGCACAAAGACCACGACATTTAATAAATTTGCCCAAATCTGCTTCTGATGACGCAACGTCTTGCCGTCAGCATCAGTGTGGCCCAGCACACTACGAAAGGCGAGCTCTACCAGGCCCAAACTAATGTCCTTTAGCGTCTTTGACATTTGCACTATCTCCGCAATGGAGAAGGGCATCAGTCTAGCATGATGTTGAGGGGCCGCTTCCAAAAGTTTCTTTTCGACGAATTCCACATCGTGCAGCGTGGGCAACAGACGTCCAAAAAGCATGCAAAAGGTCGCTAACAAAGGTATAGTACGGTCCACGCCCTGCTTCTTGGCTGCCAAATTATTTCCATTAGATGATAATTAAAGTCGGAAAAGTCTAATGATTACATGATGTTGTCTATACTTACGAACTACACCCTTAGAGATAAGTGAAAGCGGCGATGAAAATCCGAGTTGAGTTGACTCGGCGGCCAGCTTAAACCAAACAGCTCGTATGAATTTTGGCGTAAAGGCCAAAGTGTATAGCAATCTATAATATCAAATAGAAATTAGACATATAACTGAATTAACAATACAATAACGATTACCTATATTCATAGACTGCATGCTTATTGTAAATCATCAAATTGTGACAGATCTCGCATAGCGCGTATATAACCTGGCTCTGTTCAATGTGCGGCTCAATTTGCTGTACAATGAAATCCACACGCTGTGTTTCGTTTAATATGGTTATCGATTCTAGCAGACTATTTCGTTCCTTGCTGCTCAGTTCGCCTGGCGTGCGGCAGGACTGCTCCATGTCGTAGTCGAGCGTGCGAGTCGAGGGCTGTCCATCATCCTCTTCGTCGGACTCATCTGAATCGTCCTCATCGTCGGAGTCTGTGTGACGATGTGGTGTCGCATGCGTGCGCAGGGTGGACTTTGGCAGCTGCAAGATGTTGGGCATCATTTCAGCAATGACACGCACATAGACAATTAGAAGGTTACTCTGTTCTAATGTGCCTGTAGATTGGTCAACAAATTAAATATAATTGTTATGATTGTTATGAATATATGTATACACACCTAGGTGGCTGCGATCCAGCACCAAGAGCGAGTTAAGTAAATACGAGCTGAACAGCTTATCGTGCGTCTGCGCCTTTGATGACTTCACCCCGGCTTCCTCAGCCTGCATAACACCATAAAACAAGTTATTGGTGTTGACACTATCTGTGGCTGCGACTTCTGAAACGGGCGAGTACTCGCTTATGTCTAGTAACGCATGTAGCGTGTGCATGAGCAGAGCATAAGGAAATTCTTCGCTCTCCGCCAAGCAGGGCAGCACAAAGTAACGCACTGGCTCTGTGTGTGGCGTAGCTAAAATATCGCAAATGAACTTGCGACTGAAGAGCTGCGACAACTCGCTGCATGGCTGACGCAATGCAACGCTCAATGGTCGCAACATTAGCTGCATTAACGCATCGGCGAACGGAGTTGGAGCGTGTAGTGTCTCGCCGTCCAGCGGCGGGCATTTGTCATCTAGTAGCTGACGCAAACGCACAAAATAATTACGTGTGATAAGGAAGCCAAAGACACATTCCAGATACTTGTACAGCACCGTCTCATCTTCTACATATCGCTCCACGGCTGCGACTGTAGTGAAGGTCTCCAGCATGCGCAGAGGAATCGCCTGCACGCTGTGCGGAAGCGCCAACTGCACCAGACACGCATCCAAAACCTTACACACCCGCAGCAACCAAACGGAATCGTGTGCTGCATGCTGCAGCAAACGTGTGGGATTTCGCAAAATTTGCTGACATACTTCAATCTGAAAAGGCAATCAAATTAAATAAGGCATAACTATTTGTGGAACGTAGCTTACTAGTCGCTCACTGTCCTTGGGCACTCGATTACTGTAAAAAAAAGTGAGACGGCGTAAGAGGAAGCACAGACTCACATCCTCCGTAACGCGATCTCGGTGTGCATGCAAATACGCATCGAAAGCCTCGCGTTCGGCTCGCTTGCGTCGCTGGCGATGGATGAAAGAGCGTGCATACGATTGCAGCACAACTGCACCGTGAGTCTTCTGTCGCAGCTCGTTGCGTTTTTGTCGTTCCACCGCCGCTTTTCGTATGGCCGTATCTCTGTCACAGGTCTGCGAGGCGCCGCCAAGACTTTGCACTGGTCGTCGCCGATACTCGCCATCGAACCCGAACATGACACTCCAATTGTTCTGCTTCTGCAGCTGCTGTTACCGCCACTGCTGCTTCTGCTTTTGCTGCTGCTGCTGCTGCTGCTGTTGTTGTTGTATTTTCCCCCAGCTGATCAATCGCAGTCCCCCACTCAGCACATAATTGTTTTTTGTTTCTTGATTGGTATACGTCTTTGCGCTACTAAAAATTCCAAAATGCTACAGACAGCAGCGATGCCACGAGTTTTGCTGCTGATTCAACTCCAACTTAAAATACACTTTTCACTTGGCTACGTTAAATTTTCTGGCTGCGTAAAAAAAACTTGCTAAAACGAATGATTTGTATATTTTCTCTGTGTTGCGCAAAAGCACTAATTATTGACAAAAATTGCCAGCTGTTCGTCGATGTTCAGCACTATGCGATTTTCCAGTGTTATTAAACATCAAATAAACAATTGAATATCATTGGGGTACGTTAGAAAAATCCCTGTGAATTACATTTTATAAATACACCTTGCAAATGTTTATTTAATTTTTGTTTCTTTTTTTTTGTATTATGAAATAAATATCAAACAACCTTTATAAAAATGATTTTTTACAACTTCAGCACATATATACTAAAATGTAAGCAGCTAAAAGAAAACTTTGTATTAGGCTTTAAATAATGATTTTATTACCGTCGTCAAAAACATACATACATACATATTCATATAAATATTAGATTCTGAAAAATGATTTCGTAGTAAATTTTAAATAAAAATTTGTATATCAAATCTATCTATATGTTAACATATAGACAACTTCGATTGTTATTAAAAGATTCTTAGAAATTGCTAACCAAATGTACTTTTGGTATTTTATTATTTTATTTATTTATGATACGTAAAACAAATGTGTTTTATGTGAATTATGTGAGCTTCTATGCCTAAGCCGACTAATTTGTAGCTTCTTTTGTGTTGTTTTTTATATTAATATAATAATGATTTTTATATTAATAATAAGTTAACAAATTACATATAGCAAGGAAGTAGACCAAATCTAATTTTAAAGTGAAGCCGATTGTAGCTGAGCTTGTACAGGAGCTGTTCCATTACTTCCGTGTGGATGACGCAGTTGATGACGCTTGTCGATGAGTGCGAGCAGAGCTTGTGGCACACTCATAGTTTGATCATCCACCAGGACAATGTCAAAGGCATTCATATACTTTTCCATGTTGGCCTCCACATGGTGAAAGAGAAAGCCAATTTTTAAAATGTGCGATGAAGATGGCACGCCGGCTGCCATGTCCGCATCGCCAAGGGAATCCCCCATGACAATGATATGATCGCGTGTATGAACCAGTTCATAATATTCCCCTCCCTCGAGCACAGTTTCGTTCTTATTAAAAATGTGTATCATTGGCTCTTGAAAACCGTCCAACAGTCCATCACGATAGCGTAAGAAGTTCGAAACAACCTTGACATTGGGCTGCATTATGTTCGCTTGTTCCATCAGTGATACTACCGAGTTGCCCAGACCAGCAGAAAAGACAAGAACTGGAATTTGCAGTCGCAGCAGTGCATCGAATAGTTCATGCGTTCCGTCACGTAGCGCATGTTTAAATTGGCTCGTCATTTGATCCAATTCGGTCAAATCAAAGGCGAAGCCAGTGGCCAATTTGCCCGACTGGGTCCACCACTCGATCATGTACTGCACCTTCTCTGATATGGGCATATGCGGATCAATCTCGATGGGATGGTATTTATGAAAAAGTTTGTCAATCTCCTCCTTAAAGTTATCTGGCAGGGACTTGCACGAATTAAAGATGCCAAAGCTCGAGGGAACAGCAACGCCATCATCCGTACGTTGCTTTGTGATCGTATAATCAAAGTCGGATACTACCTGCATGCGTTCCGGTCCCCCGCAAACAAATTCATTAATAATTCGCTCTACCCGCTGTGAATCACGCATTCTGCAATGGTCCTGATTTAACACTGGTATATCCTGTATGCGCACATAGCCTACACGATCTTTCTGCGATGCATTTAATTCTGTAGCACCCATTTTATTTGATTTAAGATATTTCTCTGTTGTTTATAGTTCGTTCGTGCGTTCGGCGTGAATAGCGCTCACTGACTGAAATTACAATATATAAATTGGTATTATTCGATGTGCTATCGTTAGCAAAAGTTCGCAACCATGAGTGAATTTCTTACTTATATATGCATATGTATGTATTATTAGTTATATTTATACATATGCACCTATCTATACATGTGTGTGTGTGTTTGCGTAGGTGTGTGTGAGCTTAGAGGTGGCCGATAGTGCAAGTCTTTCTCTTTAACCGATCTACAACTTGAAAGTCTCAAGGACAAATTTAACCCTCTTTAATAAGTTATGCTTCGAATACTAACTCTGTTATACTCTAGTCAATTGACTGAGGCTACCTTTTTTATTCATGTATGAAAATATTTGATAATTTGTTTTAAAAATATATCTATAAATTTCTAAACAACAAAAGTCTCTTATTATTTTAAGAATATCCCCAGTATATTTCACATAACTGATCTTAAATAACATCATTCACAAAATTTAGATATAATTAACACAAAATTTAGTTCATGTATCTAATAAATATTTATTAGCATAGAACCTTTCAACAGCTCATCGCTATCAAGTATATGTATGTAAAGAGATTTGTGCGTTCTTGGCTGATTTTACTGAACTGGCCTTGATTCATAGTGTTGCAAATTTTTTATTCTTACTGGCTTATCAGGCTTTTACTAAAGCTTTTTTTGATTCTGCACTTATGTATTTGCTGACATTAAATGCCGCAACAAGCATTCAGTTTTTTACTTTTTGATTTACATTCGCTGACTGCACACCCAAGACGTACGCTATCAATCGCAAACTACAAACACTTCGCTTTGAACAGCTGTTTTGGCGAAACGAAATGGAATTGGAACAAAACGTGCGCGACCAAATAAAACGCAACAGTGGGCATAAAGTTTCATAATTTGTTTATTTTTGTGCTATCTCTCCGTCTCTCTCGCTCGTTGGATATTTTATATATTAACTAAATAAAAAAATATGTTTCCTTCAATTCACAATTAAGGATAAATTAACAACTTAATTCTCTATACATTAAATGAGTTTTTTCTATGTTGGATGCTGCGCGGGTATATTTTTGCTTTCTTTTTGGAAACTAAGTTTCCTTTCCATCTATTCAATCTTCGATTACAATGGGTGATGCGACCGGCTCCTTTTGGTTCTGAGTTCTATTCTCAAATGGCAGAAATTTCCAATCGCCTGGCAAAGAGCCCTTCAGGCTAAGCTCACGGGACAAATGGCTGTAATTGAAGAACGTAAAATGTTAACTGCGAGCGTCGACTATAATTAATGTATCTGCAGAATTTACCGATTGAGATAGTCGCTGGCGGCGTTACGGGTTTTGAACGAGTAAAGGACCTCGTCGGGCATCTTGACCATGAGCTTGCTATCGACTATCTTGGCTCTGAAACGGGGCAAATTCTTGGCCACCAGAAATCCATTTTTTTCCTTAGCAGTCGGTGATTGTCTTGGATCGATGGCAACGGACGGCTTCGCGGGCAAAGTTTTAATCACTGTGGACTGAGCTGCCTTGCCCGCCAATTTTGGATGCTGTGCCCGCACCTGACGTTGTGGCAAGTGGCCAATTGCAGATGTTTGCTTCAGCAACGTGGGTTGTCCAGAGCTATCAGCCATAGCCGTGGGCAGCTCCTGGATCTTGCGCTTGGCACCAATTTTTATAGGCTCAACAGCAGGCCGTGGAGTGTTGCTATCCTTGATCTTCATTTTAGTAATGGTCAAGCTCGCCGTTGGGTGGCCTATTTTAATATTGCCATTGCTGTTGCTCAACAGCTGCTGCAGCGTATTGTTGATTTTAGGTGCCGACGGATCTTTGGCGGCAGTTGCTGCACCGGCTATCACCGTCGAAGCACACTGCTGCGCTGACATGCGACTTATCTTAAGTGGCGGCGACTCTGCATTAACTTCGCTGGTGATCACAGCTGGGGGCGACGGTGCTTTCGTCTGGGTAAGCTGCACCTGTGGAGTTAGAAATTGTGTGACTAGCGCTGCGTCACCCATGGCAGGCACATTTGATACAAAAGGCACAAAGCCAGCGGGGAGATCAGTACTCCTAATCTCCTTGACCATGGCACCGGTGTGTGGAGCAGCTGTTGTTATATGCAGGCTCCCAACGCTTCCGTAGTTCATTTTTTGTATGGTGAAGTTAACAAGAGGCGCAGCTGCAGGCTGATCCTGCTTCGACTGCTGCGTTAGCTGTTCCTTCGCGGACAGCACATCCAGCTCATCCTCTGCTTTATCTTCGTCATCGTCATTGATAATTATGACACAATCATCTTCATCTGTGTCCGCCTCCTGTGGTTCTGCAGCAACAGGCTCCAAGCTGTTTGACTCTGGTGACGAATTCACCGTTGCTGTCAAATCAATATCAAAGTGCACTTTGCCATTGATCTGGAGGAGCCAAAAGGCCATGGTACGTCTGTCCCGCTGCACCGGAATGTTGTGATTCCGCTGGTAGACCTCGCGCAGCATCATTTTTCCGTCCACACTTTGCAACAGCACCAACACAGGAGGCGGCGTATCCAGGCGCAGCGGTCCAAAGTAGATTTTGCGCTTGGATGTAGGCGTTACGAAGGCATCATAGGGGGCATCCTGAAAGAATTGCAGCTTTACCATCTTATTGGTGTCATGCGCAACGCGGGCCACATTATGTATGCGATCCAATGAGATCATGTCCTTGAACGCAGGAACAAAGATATGCGAGAAGTCATCATACAAATTAAGCACCAGCCAACGATGATCATCCGTGTTGGTCTCCGGTATTCGCAGATCCGCAATGTCTGATTCAATGACCTTGCGAAACTCAATGTTGCTGCAAATGAGCGACGGCTCCTTGCTGTCGTTAGACAGCGTCTCCTCCGATGTGGATGTATCTGCAGGTGCCGGTGTAGCTGTAGGTGAAACTAATACTGATAGGGATGTGGAAGTAGCCGTAGCTGGTGTGCTCGCAGTGGCTGCTGCAACTGAGGACAGAGCAGGAGAAGGAACTGCAGATAGACTTCGAGCACTTGCCGGGCTAGTTGTTGATGCCCGCTGTTGGCGCTGCTGCTCCCTTATCCGCTGCTTCACCATCAGCGTACAGAGAACATTTATCTTCTTTGTCAGTATGGGATGTGTTTGTGGCGTTGGCTTGGTGCACGCATTGCCCTCCATGTAGCGCAGAAAGCCCTTGACCAGCCAATACTGCTGCCTGCCCTGCATGACCACAGCCAAACGACTCGTATTCTCATTTCGCTTACCCTCAAGCAGCATACGTGCCATCAGCGGCAAGGTGCTGCGATCGGGTGCAAAGTGCGTGTTCACCACGGCAATGGCTCCACAGACCGCTGGCATCATGTTCGTAATTGTTGCCGCCAGGAAGCTGTAGTTCTTCATTTGCACATCCCAGATGAACACATAGTTGGACTCGAAAGCGGCCAAAAAGTTGGTCCATTTGATGATGCACAATATCTCCTCATTGGGAGCTGGAATTATTTTACTCTCGCGCTGCAACGCCAGCTCGATGTCCTGCATTTTCTTGCTCACATGAGTGTTCATCTTTTTGATTACATCGTTGCAGGAGGCGCGGAAGGAGACGGAATCCACATTTGGACTATCGTCATTGATAGCCACAACAGCCGCCTCATTGCTGCCCACGCCAACATCTATGGCATTGGCATTCAGCGAGTAGCAAGCTGATATTTTAGGCATTTGAATTTCCAGCTTGGCTGCGGGCTGCATTGCCGGCTGCTGCTTCTGCTTGGCTGCTTGCTTTGATTCCTCTGCTTTCAGCTTCTTTCGCTTAACACGCGGGTCCTCCAAGCTTGTTCCCTCCGTTGCGCTGCGTTTGCGTGAAACATACTCCGTTTCGCTTTCATCGGAATCGTCGCCTACCTCAATTATGGTTACCTCTGTCGTCGGCGGCGATTGCTCCAAGCGGCGCTGTTGATCTAGCTCGGAGCGATAGTAGCTAACAGCATTCAAAACACGTTTATCGAGCAGCGCCTGCGTTTCCGCTGTCTCAGCTCGTGTCACCTCCGAGCGAATGCGATTCGCGCGGAGTCTATTCAAACGCAAATAACAATTTCTGGGCACGGACACTGCACGGCGACACAAATGGGGACGTAAGCGATAATAGCCAAAGATTATGTCCAGCTCGGCGGTACGTTGTGGCACCGCTACCACAGCTGATTTCTGTGCGGGTGCTACACGTTGCGGCTGCGGTATTTTCACTTTCAAAACAGTCGCCGGTTTCGGAAGCAACTTAATTGGCTGAAGTCTAATGGTAGCCACCTCTTTGTTTAGCTGCTTCTGTGGTACTACCTGCTTCTGCTGTTGCTGTTGCTGTTGCTTTTGCGGCAATACTTGCTTCGGTGGTTGTACCTGTTGCTGTGGTTGTTGCTGCTTCTGTGGCAAAGGAATTTTTAGTACCTGCGGCGTTTGCTTTTGTGGCTGTGGCAACTTCAGCACCAACGGAGGTAATTTCTGTGCCTGGGGCTTCTCCTTGCGCCGTTTCTTGTTGGACTCCTCCGGCGGCCGCTCGAAGCTGTAGTGAGCGCGCGTCGCCAACTCGGGAACATAGTGAGGTATAGGGAGATCCGCTTGCTCCTTTTCAATAACAACGGGCTTGCCCTCGAGCGCTAGTCCGCCGCAGAAGCATTTATACAGCTGATGGGTCATGCAGAAGGTAGCCAAATTAGCGACATCGGGCAGACGCCGCAAGGACACCTGGCAGTGCTTGAGCTGATCAAAGTCCGTGTCCTTGATCGAGCAAGGCTCAATGAGCGACGTATTGATGCTCTCGGTACTGCTGGGTGCGCGTTTGATGTTGGCCTCACGCTTTGCGACCTTGCCGGGGCGCATCAGTCCCTCGTCATCCTCGATGGAGTCATCGAAGTCCTCGTAGCGCTTGGGTACCTTAGTGCAACGACGTTTCTTGTCACACTGCGTCTCGTTGATGAGCAGAGTCTCGTTATCAGTCAGGACCAGCGTCGAAGTGAAGTCCTTTTCCATTTTGGCTAAACGTGCTGTTGCCTTGCGACGCAAGTTGAAGGCATCCTCGTTTGAAAGTCCGCGACCCTGTGGCAGAGACACAGCTCAGTATAACGATAGAACCTTTGATTATGTTTGATACTCACGTCTGTTTCCACACGCATAATCCGTGTTAACTCGGCGCCCGTGCAGCGGCATTCCAGCACGCAATCTGCGCGTCCACAATGCTCCCGAGGGGGCAGCTCACTGGCCACGCTCTCGCAGAGACATCCCAGTTGGCAATGATCCTTGATGCAAGGCTTATTCGCTATAAAAAGGATAAGGGAATTTGAAATCCATTAAATTTTCAATTTTCATTTAAATAAATCTTAATTTAACGATCGAATCTCACATTTAAAGTTAGCGATGCAACGATCGATGTTGTTGCAGTGGTCAATTTATTTGACTAACTAAAAAAATAAGTTATATATATTAAGGAATTGATAAATATTGAGCTGAAGTCATTACATATAGTTGAAATTTTATAATTTGAATTTAAAAATATACAGAAAAATAATAGGAAATGAGTATTCCCACCAATAAATTGGGTAAGTTTTATCAAATCTACAGATTATCAAAAATTATCAAAATGATTTGAAATATTTTATAAAATAGAAAAAATACTAATTATACCTATGTACAGAGGGACATACGGAATATTGATATGTGAAAATTTAATGAATAATAATGAAATCTATTTATATCTCCACAAATCGAATTCATACAGTAATCTTTCAATACATGGAACTTACCGTCCTTGGCTATGGCGGCCGCATCGATGATGGTGGCATTGAGACGGCGCAGCTCTTTAGCTAAACGCTGTTGTTTGTTGGGGCGTGGCTTGTTGTTGGCCAATTTAAGACCCGCCTTGGATAGGCCATCGGCTTCAGTCACATCCGACTTGCCTGCAGCAGCAAATTCTTCCTTAATGGGACTTATATCTGGAGTGGCACCACGTGCCGCATCGGGATCAACACTGATGAACGAGTTCTCGCTGCAGCTGATGGCTACCGTGTTAATCATGTCATTCACCATATCCGCACAGTCCAAGGCAATGGGATCTGGATTTTTGGGCAACAGTTTGCGAAAATCTAATTCGCGCAGCTTCCCCGGTGGCTGCGAAGCTCTAAAGCTCTCATCCAGCTGCTCGGAACGATCTACAACGCGTCGCACCAGAATATGATTGCGATCGTTCATATAGGGTATCACAAAAGTGAAGCTCTTGCGCCTGCCCACATTTGTGGACTGGGCGGCGGCCTGTGCCTCTGCCTCACGCATGCTATTGGGCGATTCCCGCAGCGTGGACACACTGAACTCGGCCCACTCGCGTGTTATGTCATGATGCGGAAGAATGTACTGCAAATAACGTTTGGCAATCTCATTCAGAGGCCGGCCCAGCTGCGGCTTCACGTCCAGCTGCACTGTGGGCATACTGACCACAGCCATGCTCCCGCCGGCTAGTAACAGCGCGGCTGTATCATCGTCCAGTGGCTTCTGATACGGCTTCTGTGAGAGCGGGCAGGGCCTAAATATAGCAGGCAATGGATACTGATTGAGCTTCTGCAGCTTGCCTTTGAGCTGACATTGGCGCGTGGGGATCACTTTCAACTCATTCCGCAAAGCCGCGTCCACGCATTTTCTGCGACACTTCAGCGTGGCCAGCTCCTGCGCAGTGAGCGTGCTGCGATGCGGCTGCTTCTCGCGATGCACATTGTTACCCCGGCTGCCAGGCAGACGCACCATTTCGCCATCGATGCGTATGACCTGGTAGTAATACTTGTCTGTCTCTGTGGCCACGTAACTGGCCGCCTGCCAGCCCTGCCGAGTGAAGGGCATTTTAGTGCTGGACGACTGCAGCTGTTGCATTGCAGCAATCTTCACCTTGCGCTGTCGTTGTTTGCGCTGCAGCTCGCGATAGATGTTCGCCTCGTTATTGATGATGGCCATCTTTTGGTTCTTTGAGCGCTGCAGATAATGCCGACGATCGGCAACAGTACGAAGCTTTTGTAAGCTGTCCGGCACCGCCGGCATGTCCATATGCGGCGGCACACTGTGCGCCGTGACGCGTCCATCCTGGTACATGGGCTCAAGCAGCTCCCGATCCGCGGAACGCGTATCCCGCAGGTTGTTCTTCTTCATATACGCTTCCAGTGCGTCGCTAACAAAGGCCCCGTTGCCGTCAACTGTTTTGCAGCTCTGCGGCACCAATGGCGTCAGCAGCATGCCCGGCTGATGGGCGCTCTCATCAAAGCCAACGAAGTCTTCGCTCGTTTCATCATTGAAGCTAAAGTCAGATTTTGCCTCAGATGCAGGCTTATTGAAGCTACCATGCAATTCATTTGCAGATCTGGAGAAATTCAATTCTTTGGCAAAAGTCTTGACACGCACTTTATTCATTAGCATGTCCAAAAATTTGCTGCCCGCTGTCTTTTCCGGCGACAGTTCAGGCCGTTTTTCAGCTTTGCTGCTGGGCAGCACCACGGCTATGGCCGGCGAGTCCTTGCCAGGAGTTGGTCTTATGGCAGGCTTTTCTTTAGATGTATCATGTTTTTTAAAGGTACCTTCAATGATTGCTACTAATTTGGCAGGCTCGTCCTCTACCTGTTGCTCTTCTAACTCCTCCTCTTTTACCAGCATTTGCGCTTTCTTCTCTTCTATCCGTTCCTCTATCTTCTCCCCTGGCTTCTCTTGAGGTAGTTCCACATTTTTGTTCGCATCTTCGATCAGGGAGAGACCGCGCTTGCTGCTCTTCAGCAGCTCCAATTGCTGTTTCATCTGCTTGGACAACTCCTCGCCATACAGTTCCGTCTCCTCGTACTCTTCTATTTGGCCCATTGTTTTGTAATATCTTACAATATGCGACGACCATTGCTTAGTATTAGCTTTACGTCGCTTAATCATGCGTTTCAGTCGCGGGTCGAAGAGAAGGAGACGGGCACGGCGTATGAGCAGGACCCGATTATTGCGCTTACGCCAGGCATAGGTGCGCAGGACACAGCGTGGATTTAAAGCGTAAATAATAAAGCGCTTCGCATTGCCCCAGTTCCTGTGCAGAAACTCCTGCGAAACAGGATATTTGCGCTTCAGATAGAGAAATTTTCTCAACTCCTTGCCTTTCAGGACAATACGGGGAAGTTCCTGTATCATTCTATAAAACAAAACAAAAATAAATTATAAGCCTTCAAATTCGATATCTTTCATTCATTTTACTAAATAGGCGAAATAAATTGATTGTTATCGACCCATTTATTACTATACGAAAACGATATACATTCAATAAATTATTATCGATAAAAATATATGACGAATTATATATACCGCTTTATATATTTACAAGAAATAGGAAATAGCATTTACATTAAAAGTGCTGCCTAGCTAAAAAAAAAAAATGTAATCGAAATAGGCAGCACTGCTTTGTTTATAGATACACACATTAATCACCTGACGGATGAAAATGGAACTAAAAGAAAAACATTCATCAAAGGATAGCTATCCACCACATTATTATTAATTTAATTTAACTTTGAATGAGGAAATATTAAATGTAATCCAATAGCGGAAGTTTACTCTACCAGGATATTTCAAACATCATTGATATTAAGCTTTTCAAACAGCTTGAATCGAAATGTTTTATAGGTTAACCATATGTACATACACAAAAGGGAATACGTACTTATTAATGGCTCGCAAATTAAACGGTAAATGCCGAAAAGAACGGGCCACCAAATTATTGGTCTAGTTATCTGGACGGCTTTGACTAAACCTCACACAGCAATTTGGTTGCCGCCGACATTTGCACACACACAAACAAGATACAAAAAACCAACAGCAGAAGCAACTAAATCATTTTCTCACTTTGCTTTGAGCAGTTCCGAATTATAACTAATGCCAACAAACACAAAAGCTTGTTAGCATTATGCATGTGTTAAAAAAAAGACAATTGTAGTTAATTAAACTCTGCTTTAAATTCAAGAAGAACGCGTGCATATATTTTGCGATCACAAACAGCTATGTACGGGCCCTGCGACGACTGTCTTGTGTGTGTGTGTTTTTGTGTCTGTGAATGTACGCAACGTGTTAGTGTGTGGATCCACTCTCAGGCGTTCCAATGAAATGCAATGGAACTGGCACAACAGTAGTTGTCATTCTTATGTCATACATATGTATGTATTTATGTACATTTAAGTGCAATCTATGTAAAGTTGTGTGCGTGCGCACGTGGTCACCGATAACCGATTTATTTTGGTTTGGTTAAAAAGAAAGCTAAGCAAAGGCCATTAACTATAGTATAATTAAAAATTAATGGATTGAAGCTATGAGATTTAATTTTAAAACCACGTTATCATTTTTCAACTGTACAAAAGAAACAAGAGTTTAGAAACTGCGATCTTAAACGCGCTGTAACATTTCGAAATGACAATATCCATGTTATAAGAAAATTATGTCAAGGACATTTAAGAAACTAATTAATACTAACGCATCGTCATTATTTACTTAAGGGTTACAATATTGCGTACTTTGCAAAATAAATTCTAAGCAATTCGCAATTAGCATTAAATAAATCGATAACCTCAAAATAAAATCCAAGATGGCGTCACGGCAGCAGATACATGCACACGCTACTGCCGATCGCATGCGTCAGAATGTAAAGCACCGAAAACCGCCCGCCCCACAAACAAACGCTCGGAAAAAGTACCAAGAAAAAATTTCGATTAGCTGAAAATGTCCTGCCAAGTAAAAAAGTATATATAAATATAAATAAAAACACTCACCTGCACAAAACTGTGCACACACCGCACACTACTATATTTTCTTATCTCTAAATCCGAGGGAAAATTCTGATATCTTAACTTTTCTTTCACTTAAACGCGCAATTACTTGCGGCTCTCGATGCTGACGTCGTTAAAAGCGCTCCACATACGAACAATCACATATACATACACAATTCAACTCACACCTCCATACATATATCGACAACTGCATGATGAATTTCAATATGGAGACCGATAACAGAACACAAAGGGAGCAGCGTGGAATGGAACACAGGGTTGCTGAGCGCGAAAAACCTGAATCCAAATGATATTCAAAGCTGCCGAAATTTGCGGGAAATGCTATTTGGTAACCTAAAAGCTATTACCAATTGCTATAACTGAATGTATTAATTTTTTATAGAATAGCAAGTTTTTAGTGCGTACTGCAATCTCTGAACTCCTGCAGAAAGAAAATTGTGGCTTGATTTGATTTTAGCGCCACAGGAAAAACACGTGGTTACAAGCACACTAAGTTAATAATATAAACCCAACACCAGCTTCATGTTTGACTTTACTAAGGCAATGCCACGTCGACAAAATTGTACACATTATCATTTAACGGACAGTTAGGCAGCCCTGTGCGACGTTTCATCAAGTAAATGGCCCTCCCTGTTCAAACCTACATTTTAAGGTTAGGCGCAGCTGGAACTGTGTGCATAACAAAACAAATGTTTATTTCTAATTATTAGTTTTATTTTTTTTTTCTTAAATATAAATAGAAATACATACATATATGTATTTTTATTTATACATATAGTATATAAATAAACATATATCAATCACATGTATTAGGGAACCGTACTGTACCTGCAAATGGACAGAAAAAATTAATTCAGTTTAAGTTTACATCATTTAAATTAAAAATAAAACGTGTTGGTATTTTTTAGTTCAGTAGGACCTATTTTTGAGGATTGTGTTGTTGCGGTATTTGTGAATCATAACACATCAGATTTCCTTTTTCATCATTTTAGTTTGTTTTTTATATCTGATAATTAGCTTTATTGAAAATTACCCACCTTATAATTAAAATATGTGAAAGAGATCCATAACCCTGCAAATTAAGCAAAATAAGTCAAATAAATTTATTGTTATACAAAGATAAAATACATTATTGTAAGAATTTTAGTTCAGTAGGACCTATTTTTGAGGATTGGGTTGTTGCGGTATTTGTGAATCATAACACATTCAGATTTCCTTTGTCATCAAAACAAAAATATATTGAACTCCAAATGAAATATAATGGATGCTTACCTTTAAAAGACGAATAAATTCGAGGTTTATATCCATAGGAATACTGAAATAAAATTTTGAAATTCTTTAATTAAACTTTACAAATAAATTTGTACTTATTTTTAAAATAGGTTTCAGTAAGACCAATCCTCGCATTCAACATGAGAAGTTTCTCTTTATGTTCAGATAGGGGCGAAAGCTTAAAGCTCATCATAATAGTAGGAGATTCAAATGATGCTTATTGAATGGATACTAACCTGTATTAAGCTATTGAAGCGATACCAGCGATCGTTGAGTGGGCACAAAATAGTCATGGAACAACTATAAAATGAAGGCAAAATTTGAATTATAAATGTTTTCAATATAAAATTTAAGCATTATTTTAAGATTTTTTCAGTAAGACCAATCACGCACTCAACATGAGAAGTTTCTCTTAATTTTCAGATAGGGGCGAAAGCTTAAAGCTCATCATAATAGTAGGAGATTCAAATGATGTTTATTGAATGGATACTAACCTGTATTAAGCCGTTGAAGCGATACCAGCGATCGTTGAGTGGGCACAGTCAGTGGGCACCAGTCATGGAACAACTATAAAATGAAGGCAAATTTGAATTATAAATGTTTTCAATATAAAATGTAAGCATTATTTTAAGATTTTTTTCAGTAAGACCAATCACGCACTCAACATGAGAAGTTTCTCTTAATTTTCAGATAGGGGCGAAAGCTTAAAGCTCATCATAATAATAGGAGATTCAAATGATGTTTAAATAAACAAATACTACTAACCTTTATTAAGCTATACAACCGACCCAATAGTGAGTTTACAAGAGTCATAGACCTATAAGAAAAAGAAAAAAATATTATTAAAAATGTATTCCATAACTTTCCAGAATTGCTTTAAAATTTATTTTCAGTAAGACCAATCACGCATTCAACATGAGAAGTTTCTCTTAATTTTCAGATAGGGGCGAAAGCTTAAAGCTCATCAATATTTCAGCTTATTTAATTGATTTTAAAAGATATAGCAATATTTACCTTTTTATTTGGCAGACTTCCTCGTACGTATTAAAGCTTACGATCTGAAAAACAACATAAATATTACTAAATTACTTAAAAAACTAAAAAAAAATATGATTAAGATAAGTTGATAAAAGCAATTAAATGTTTACTTTGTTATCAATTCATTAAGATCCATCTCGTATTGAACATGCTCATGAGATGATAGCAAAACATTTAGAAATAGAACATAACAATTAAAAACTCACCTATATATCGTCTTTGATACTCTCGCTAAATAAGTCTAAAAAGTTAACAAATTGTAATTAAATAGTCGAAGATTTACAATAAAAGTATACAATTTATTGCATTGCGAATGTCACTTATAAATGCATTGAAATTTGCATTTGTACAGCTCATACAAACAAAGGGCCGTCTAAAATTTTAAACTTAACAGCTAAGAAAATGCTCTGAAAATAGTAGAGGACTAATGCCTAAACCTAGTTTAATAGGAATTATTCTATTCCTATTCCTGAGCCTCTTCTCTATCTCTATCTTTATCCTTCTTCTTCTTTTTCTTCTTCTCTTTCTCAACAGGTACTTCAGCTACTGATTCCTCTGCAGCTGGCGCCTCCTCTTCGCCCTTATGTTTCTTTTTCTTCTTCTTCTTTTCTGTCGTGGCAGGCGTGCCATCAACTGCGGATTCATCTACACTGGATACGCTGTGTTTCCGCTGCTTACAGAAAGTGTTGTTAGAACCAAATGTTATTCGTATAATTAATATATTTCTTCAAACCTTGCTGATCTCGGTGGAACCATTTGAGGGCGTTGCAGCTTGCGGAGCAACAGCTGCGGCTGGCTTCTTGGCATTGTAGTCCACAAAACCTGTTAGCCACTCCTTTGGAGTGTTCTCATTGGGCCTGCCAAACTTGTCCAATTTGCCGGCAGCAATAAGCGCTTTCTTGGCTGAAGCCTTAGGTCCCAATCCCCATTTGCGTGGATATGTGTCCCGTTCCATGATCACACGTTTGATCTTTGCGACGACGCCATGATCGCATGAAGACATAGTTGCTGTGGTCATCAATGCGATGGCCAAGCAAATTGCCTCGCCCTTTGTGGTGCAGATGACAATCTCCTGCTCGATTTCGATACCATCCTCATAGCGCAAAACGCCAGGTAACATAATTTTGGCACCATAGCAAACAGCATTGACCTAAAGTAAATTGATAGATATTATTTTTTAAGCAAATAGTTCTAAATCCATATATATATATATATAAGTATTTATTTGGAAATAGATTTGTGGTCTGAAAATAACTTTGTCAGAAACGCACGGTAGGCGCAACACCAACATACACACATCAGCAACATTACTGTTCCCAGTCATAGTCACAGACGCCGCTGGTTAAAATACGAACGTCTGCCGGCTTAATATCATGGGGTACACTTTAAAAATATCAATAATATAGTAAACATACCGAACTGTCCTTCATGATGATGCGTTTGTGGTTAATGAGAAGACCCTCCAATGGCTTTATCACGCGACGCAGCATAGACTCATCCTTGTGATTCTCGTACAACCACATGGCATCGAGTACATCATGCATAGTAACCATGCCGTCACGCTCGGACTGTATGCCAGAGCGAACGCGACGCAGCTCCAACATTTGGCCACCAACGCCAAGAACTAGACCAAGATGGACGCACATGGTACGTATATAGGAACCGGCCTCACAGCTAACCCAAAAAACACCTAAGCACGTGAATGTCGAGACAAAAGCAAAAGAATGTGTTACCAATAAAACTGTGCATTTGCTAGAGCAAATACTATAATTATGATGTATTTCCAGTAGATTTTGTAAGCCATGTACGTCTCTGCCATAAGCCAGACAGCAACGCACTAACTATATCTGGATTGGAGTGTGGTGTATTTAATAACTTACCCATATTACGTGATTCGTCGTAGTCCAGTAATTTACTGTCGTAGACGGTGCGCACACGTAGCTGACGCTTTACAGCAGAGATGAGGGGCGGGCGCTGGAAAAGAGCACCACGCAGTTTCTCCAAGCCCTGACGAACTTTGGCAACCGATTCAACGGGTCCATGTAGTTTAAAAATAGCAACATACTCTTTGCCGGCACTTTGTTGAGACTTGACAAGACGTGTGGCGCGGTCAATGCAGACTATCAAGCAGCCTGTGTTAGAAAATATGCGTAGGTACGTGCGTTAGTTACGATTTTTAGGTTAGATTCAAAAAATACCGCACGTTAGATATGAGCGGAATATCGAATATCAAATAATCGTCATAATTTAAATAACAATTGCCACCATTTACCTGTAACCTTCGGATCCAATGTACCAGAATGCCCGGTTTTTTCCACTTTCAATATTTTTTTGATCCATGCGACCACCTCGTGTGAACTTGGATTTGACGGCTTGTCGAGATTAATAAAGCCAGTTTTGATGTACTCTTTAATATCACGATTGAGCGGCGAGGAGCCATGTGCTAGCGGCGTGTAGTGATTAGAGCGTATGTTTAGCTTATCAAAGTGTTTAAGCAGCAGAGGCCACTGGGATGTGTCAAGCTCAGCAATTTTCGAGGATGGTTTTATTTGGAATTGGTTTTGCTTCTGCAGAGTCCCAATATCTTCGCCATCGAGTGGCTCTTCCTTGATTTTCTTCTTTTTCTTACGAGAATCTGCAACGATGTATTACCCAATGACATAAGATAACTTTGTTTATATTGTTTTGATGGTTACTTACCAACGTCAGTCATTTTAATCAATTTTATTTCAGACACAATGCGCGCGGTGTTAGAGTACGTCCACACGTGGTGCCAGGTTAAGGAAAATGGCCGAGTGACACACGTGTTGCAAGGCAGTAGTTCAGTGTTGAACTAGTTCGGAATATTCGATTAGACTATCGATACATTACATTAAGTAATGAACACCTATCGCAACTGGTGGAGTAAAAGTAAATATATTAAAAGTACTTTACACCATAACGGATTAAGCTTATTCATCATAAATATTGTTCAGATTAATATCAAAGTGAAAAAACGTGTCATTTATATTCTGCTTCCACAACAAAATAATTTAATAGGTTAGACGCTTAAGATCAGAAGCACATCATAATTCAAGACATGATAAGACTTCATAAATAAATTAAATTGTATATTATAACAATAAGTATTCGATCTAGATTTAAATATCATCTTATGATACTCGTCGATAGTTACTATCGAACTTGCAAGCCGCATTTACAATACTTTCCGATAAGTAGCAATACAGCTCTAGCTTTGTTTTTGTCAACAAATGGAGCAGGTTGAGGGAAGTGGAATTGCTGGAGCATTAGTTAGTAAAAACGAAGCTCAACTAAAAGCTACAAAGAACACGGCCATTAAGTGCTTAAAATGCAACAAAGTGTATATATTCCCCGATGACAGAGACGATTGTTTGGCACATTTGTACCTCGAGCATCGTCTGGTCATAGCAGATGTTGAGGACATAGCACTCCTTGAGGATTATTTGCAATACTGGGAAAAGGAGTTCCAAAGTAAGTTTGTTTACATATATCAAGTGGAGTAAATATATATAAAGTACCTATCTATTGTCTAGCACATGAGTTCGAGCAGTATTGTACAACAATGTTTCTGGATCAGCTGCCAGATGGAAGTTACGCCAAAAACGAGAAATATTATCTGCTATGCGATATATTACCGCAGGACTTTGAACTGCGAAAGCGGTTGCAGAACCAGCGCTTGAGCGCTGCATTGGAACGACATCAGTTTGAGCTAACGGATCGTACCTTTAGTAAAGAGTGCCTTTTCTGTCGTACCGTCATTAAAGGATTACGCGCCGACTACTTGGAACATCTGTTCGAAAAGCATTTTCTGCTTGTGGGCAAGCCGGAGAACTTAGTCTATGTGGATGAGTTGCTCGATCAGTTGGAGAATAACCTAAACAAACTGTTATGCCTGTACTGCGAAAAGATTTTCAAGGTATATTTATCAAAAATGTAGTATATTATTTTATCTAAAGCTATTTGTGGTTATCACTAGGATCGGCCAACGCTGAAGGAGCATATGCGCAAGAAGGGCCACAAACGTATAAATCCCAACCGTCGTGAATACGACAAATTCTTTCTAATCAACTACAATCGTACTACTCCAAGATCTTTGCCGCGTAAGCAGACGCGCGAGACGCAAAAGTCCGGCGTATCCGATGACAGTGCCAGCGTCGACTTTGACAAGCATTTTGCACGCAGGGACTCGGATGCAGATTGCGATTCAGATTGGTCCGATTGGGCAGCTGATGGAGAGCCTCATGTCATTAAGTGTCTCTACTGTGCCCACCAGGAGAATCAGTATTGTGATCTGAAGCGACACATGATCGAGGCACATCGATTGGACTTTGAGGCCGTCACCAGCTCTTTAAATTTCTACCAGAAAATCAAGGTTGTGAATTTTGTGCGGCGGCAGCTTTGCTTGTTGCGCTGCGTTTGTTGTGATTTGCAATTTGATGAGTTTGAACTGCTGGCTGAACACATGGTTAACGAATCGCACTGTGGCATCGGGGATCGTTCAAAATGGGATAAACCAGAATTCTTTTTTCCTTACATTGATAACGATGGACTTTTGTGCGTGCTGGACGACAGCACGGGGGACGATTTGGATGCAGATGTGGTTCGCATCATTTCTGAAGATAGTGTGGCGCAGATAAACAAGGATGCGGAGAGCTTATCGTTAGAGAATTTTAAATTATGAATCTTACTGCAAATAAAACAAAACACTTAAAAATTTCAATAGTCGTCAACACATTTAGGATAACTGAAATATAGATAAACACATGTTATGTACAAACTATAACAATTGTATTGTGCGTTATTGAAGATACTAATTTATCTTATGAATATAATCTTATGGAATAATTTTTCATATGAAAGATTCATCGTATAACAAAGTATAGTGACTTAGTGTACGAAAATGTACCCTAAGCGATTTCAAATATAGTATCGATATTGCTCTGTGGCTGGCGATAATTGAAGCAGTTCAGTGCTGTAAAGCGCTACACTAAAAGTGCAACGCGTTTTTGGTATTTTTGTGTGTTTTTGTTTTGCTAACTGCACTGACATCATTCCGCTTTCTTTAAGAAATTTGCTAATTAGAATGGAAGCACTAGATATATTGGAGAAAAGAATCGATGCACTTAACCGAGTGCTAGGTCCTCTACCTGAAGCCCATGTTGGAGATGCCGATGGCGCAAACACAACGAAGACTGCCAACATAGTGGACACTCTCTGTTCTGCCAACGCCTTGTTGAGCGAAGCCACAACGGGACGAGCACAAGTGCAGCAGTGCGTTGGCCGCGCAGCGGAACTTGAGAAGTATCTGGATCCCAATTACTTGGAAGATCAGCAGCAGGTTCGCGCCAAAGAGGTCTACATAAATGCAGTTGCACCTGAGCTATACGCACAGAGCGAACAGCTTGGGCGGATCAAACAGCTGGAACCTGCGCTCGGTGCCGAATACTTTCGGAGCATACCCAGTGAGTGTCTGGACAAGCTAAAGCAAATTACTGATAACAACGGAGAATATGCACAACAAAGCGAATTGATTGAAGAGAGTCTAATATTGGCCATGAAACGCTATGGCGAAATACAAGCGGGCTTGCTCACCTCGCTGGATGCCATGAACGAACGCCTCGACCAGGTCGAGCAGCGAATGGAGCAGCAAAAACGATCCGAGCTTACAAAGGATGTGCCGCCTAAGGACTGAAGTGCTTAATCGTCTCCCAAAAGTATTTACCCTTAGACATTGTTCCACTCTTCGCCTGTAAGATTTTTATTTAATACGCTAGCACAATACACTTATCCATCAACTAAAACTGACGCTTATCTATAACTTAAATATGTATATGGTTCTCATACTGCGAGACAATTAGCTTTGTAGAATGGCAGGCAATAAGTCCTGGAATATTATTGTACCCTTGCTGAGCGTAACGGACATAAAAGTCTTCAGAATCCGAAGTCCGAAATCTGACTGGAAAATGGCATTCTGCATAGAACTTAACGTTTTGTGCCTCTGAAATACTTTACGCATATGTCTGCAAGGGTGCCCTTTAAAGATAATCTTTCGCTCTTGTTAGTCTTATGAAGTTCTTAAAGCTGGAAGCTGTTGCTGCCGTTGCTTTAAAAGCGCAGCTCGTTGCGTTGGATTTGCTCGAAAATGGACTGCGTTAGTGGAGCATAGCTGCCATCGGGCTGTGCGTAGTAGAGCTCGTCTTCGATTATGGCTGGATTATAGCCTTGCTGCTGCAGCTCCACTTTGCGCAGCTTGAACGTGCCTGTTAGATCGACGCGCCGCAAGAAGCGCAGAAATTGTGGGCGCGCATAGCTGGGCATGTCGCTGGCGAGGATTGTGCCCAGCCTGGAAACATCCACCTCCCGGATGGGATCATAGATGGCTGCCATGCCGGCGCGTCCCTCTGTCTGGGGTATGCACACTCCGTAGACAATGGTGTCCTTGTAGTTAACCAGATTGCTGAGCTGTGCCTCCACCTCGCTGGTGGAGACATTCTCACCCTTCCAGCGAAACGTGTCACCCGTGCGATCCTTGAAGTACAAATAGCCACGTTCATCGGCCACCAGCAGATCGCCAGATATGAACGCCTTGTCGCCTTTGCAGAATACATCATAGACGACCTTCTTGGAGGAGGCCTTGGTATCCACATAGCCCAGAAACTCGCGGGTGGGATTGCCCTTAACAATTTTGCCTATGAAGACGCCCGGCTCGTGCGGAGCACATAGCTGACAGAGACCCTTCTCGTTGCGGATGGGCTCGCCAGTGTGCGGATCAGCGCGGATTATGGAGATGGGGTAGATCTGTGGCAATATGCGAGAAATGAAGCCAATGGCACCCATTGTGCTGTCGTTGTTCATGATGTTCGCATTGCCCTCGGTGGCGCCATAGAACTCGCCCACTTTGGCTATGTTGAAGCGGTCGACAAACTGCTTCCATATCTGTGGACGCAGTCCGTTGCCAAAGACCATGCGCACCTGATGCTGACGATCATGTGGAGCCTCCGGCGTAGCTAGCACATAGCGGGCCATCTCGCCAATATACTGGCCAACCTGGGGAGAATGTGTGAGATGAAAACTAGCCTAAGGAGCTGCCAGAGCTTTCCACCTACCGTGCACTTGAAGCGGGCGCAGTCGGCAAAGTAGCCCGAGGCACTGAATTTCTTGCGTATGACCACGGTGGACCCAAAGAGCAGCGCTTGACCCATGCTCATAATGCCACCAGCTGTGTGGTAAAGCGGCAGCGGGGTATAGAACACATCCGTGTCCCGGAAGCCCAAGGTGTAGTGTATGCCAGCGGCTATAAAGAAATAACTGTTCACACAGGATATATGTTAATAGCTACATTATCAGCAGAGATCTTCCAGCCCAGGGGCTTTGGGAAAGATCCAAGATCAATCCAGAGCCGAACTTACCGCGAATGCGTAATGACAGCTGCCTTTGGTAGTCCGGTAGTACCCGATGTGTAGATATACACCAGCTTATCCTGATGATCGGTTCGACTTGCACCGGCGGCTACCTTATCCTTTGGCACCGTCTCCAACAGGGCGTTCAGCTGCTGCGCCAAGCCCTGGGTAAGACCTTCCGCGCCTTCAGACACATTGGGCTCATCGTTGAACTGATAGAGCGCCACGTGGGCGGGTAGATCCTTGGCAATATCCATGACCGCCAATCGGTAGCTAATGCCATAGATGAGCGCCGTGCAGTTGCCTACTTTGATGCTGTGCTGCAGCGAAGCGCCGCGCAGATTCGTATTAATTAGGGGCGTGATAACGCCAATCTTGGAGAGGCCCAGCCAAGTGGCCACGAATTCGGGGCGATTCTCCAGCAGCAGGCCGACTACATCGCCCTTCTTATAGCCATGACTGTGGAATACATTGGCCACGCGATTCGCCTGCTCGTTTAGCTGTCGGAATGTCCACTTCTGCGACTCGCTGACAATGGCCAGCTTGTCCGGCTGCTTAGCCACATTCGCCTCGAAGACGTCGCCCACATTGAGGTTCTTCCGCTCCAGCCGCTTGATAAACAGCAAAACGCGTATATACGCAATGAGAGCGCTGCAACAAAACATATGAGAATTCGAATGGAGCAAGTGCATCCAATTTGCCTCACATGGTATCGCGTGGTCCAGTCACTGCCGCTATGTAAAACCAGCGCCAGCCTGGCTTCACCAACAGCACCACAACCAAGCTGCTATAGAGGGCAGCCAGTCCGTACCAGGTCCCCTCGTAATACCAAACCACAGCCGTAATCGCGGATAGAAGTGGAACCAAGAGACCCAGCAAAAGCCAGGCGCGACGGCTGCTTTTCTCATTGACATTAGCTTTCTCGTTCCCCATGCTGATCTGCACTTCCTTAGGTGCTGTCTGAAATGAATATAAATCGATAAACGACATTATTTATCTTCCTGTGGACTCTTTGATCTCAGCAATTCTAGAAGCTTGAGCTGCGGAATTTTCCATGTAGACTCGCTCTGATATACTATTTACTATATACCATATACTATATACTATATACTATATATATATATATATATATATATATAGTATATACTATATACTATACATTATATACTATATACTCTATATAATACTGTACTAATTACTAATCCTTATACTAAAGTGCACTTTCCAGGTTCTCTATAATCTAATAAAAACAAGTTTTTATTGCGTATTTTGACTCAAATGTCAACTGTAGGTTTGCAGGTTCTAACGAACGGAAGGTTTTCAACGTCAAGTCTAATTATAGTGTTTTAAAATGTATATATTTATAAATGTCTGCTTTACTGTCTAGTCAAACATGAAACTGGTTCTTTTCAGTCATTTCGATCATTTTATTCTCGAGGTACAATTCCTTCAGATCTTAAGGATTGGGTTTTTTAGTGTTACGCAGTTCAAATAAAATAAATTATTGCTATCCAAAGTTATATGAACGTTATCAAGATATCGAAGGCCGAAACTCAACCCGATTCCCATATTATTTACATACCAGATATTTTTCTCTTGCTCGATTAACAGCTAACATCGGTTATTTTAAAATTTAATCAAATTTGTTTTTTTGTTGAATCTGGATATCGATTTTGTGAAGCTCCGAACGTTATAGACTTGTTTTGCATAGGATAATTAAAGCTTGATGTACATTTTTAATAAACAACAGTTGTCGCCTGATCCCATTAAAATCTGTGATCTCTAGACCGTTTAAGGTCAAGAGCGACGAGCTCTCATATTCATCCGATTGAGATCAGAGTTTTTGCAAAGCTTTTTATTGCTCAACTTGAGCCAGCAAAAGTATATGATTATTTTGAGGTGAGGCCAAAAGATATATTTATAAAACATCGTCGAACTGCGATTGCTTGTCTTAAGTTTTCTTATCAAATGTGGCTATTCACGAATCGCTTAAACTATATTTATATAGCAGATAGAAGATAGGAAATAGAAGGTAGAACATTGAAGAGAAAATATAGAAGATATATGACAACAACTAAGAGACTGAAAAAAGAATATATAAATAAATTTAAAAATAAAAAGTTAAATATATTTATTTTATTTTACATTTTATATAAATATTTTCTATCATTTAGCTTATATATAAATCTATAAATCGTAATATATTATATATTATATATATATTTCAAAATTACCTATATATCTTCGATCTCTTGGCTTTTATCATCTATCTTCTATATAAATCTATAAATCGTAATATATAATTATTTCAAAAACTATCTCGTATATAAATGTATAAATCGTAATATATAATTATTTCAAAATTTTCTATATACCTTCGATCTCTTGGCTTCTGTCATTTATCTCCTATATAAATGTATAAATCGTAATATATAATTATTTCAAAATTTTCTATATATCTTCTATCTCTTGGCTTCTGTCATTTATCTCCTATATAAATGTATAAATCGTAATATATAATTATTTCAAAATTTTCTATATATCTTCCATCTCTTGGCTTTTATCATCTATCTTCTATATAAATTTATAAATCGTAATATATATTTATTTTAAAATGTTCTACCCGCATAACTGCATTATGATATCTACAGCAGTTTTAGGCTTCGTTGACCTATCCCAATTTTGATAATTATAAACTCTAAATGCGATTCTCTTTTATTTAAGCACTCTTTGTGAACCGTCTTTAAATAGCAATTTTATTACTCGTTAGCTTCGTGGCAGTCGTCCAGTCGAGCCTGCGTCTCAGCTAATTGCCACTTGTTTAATTTGCACATCGAATCATTTGCGCGTTTACAGTATTGTTTAAGTAGTTGGCGCGATGTTTGCACAAACTGTTAGTTATAGCAAATATAAATATTTTGGTGTTGGTGTCATGCGCAGCGGCGCTAATTGTCAAATCGGTGACCGATGCGGCTCGAGATGTCTTTGAAATGAGCCATCGCCTTTCGCTGGGCATCGGCTGCCAGCTTATTGGATAATCGGATCAGCAGGCAAATGGTCAAGGCCGCAGTCAGACCCACCAAATAGAAGAGTATCTGAACTTGGGAGCAGTGCCGTCAGTTGATTACAGGTGAATAGCTATATTGCTTTACCTTGTGCCAGATATTGAGTTTTACGGCAGTGGTCGGGAGAGCCCCCTCCTCCTCTGATCGCACACTATCGGTGCTTTTCATCATGGTCTTCAAATATTTGCACGACTTTACGACTTTCTCAGATTCTTTAGATATAGCATTTGCCTTAGACACTATGTTTTCATGTTCAAATATTTGACGTTGAGGTCGAATGTGGTATGAGATCAGATAACCCCTACAAACCCCACAAACAAATCATAAACTTATTGAGCAATTTCTAATTAAATTTTCCATCTTGTCTTATTATCACGGTTCCGGAAAGTTCTAAAAGTTGTTTTCTGTTTTTTTTTACACCTATCTTTCCTTCTCTATGTTTTTCCTTACTAAATACATCCATTGCCATTCAGTAAACTCCATAAATTTCGAGCTATGCGGACATAGCATTGATGAAATTTTAAAACCTGAGTGTTAATTGTTTGTTCTTTATTAGCTCATCTAATATTTCGGCATGCAATGTGCGTAAAGCTATTTACTTCCTCATAAATGACAGTCCAAGCTACTTAGTATTTCTTTTTGCCATGATAATCTTTAGCACATTTAACAAATACTGCGTAGATCTCAAGCTGTGGCACACGAGGAAACTTGAAGCGGAGTCAGCGTGAGATATGCATTATAAAAACAAGAAGAATCGATTCTGTCAACCAGTTTGGTGTTGACCTACGCCATGGACTTGACTTTCAGACCCAGTCAACCATTGAATATTAAGATGCGACTGAACAGCCGAGTGAACTACATGAGACTTGTTCTTGAAACATGGCATGGGCACATTGATCGATCCATGTATGAATTGTATGCGGCGACTGTCTATATAATTCTGTAGCATTAAAAGCATAAAAAGGCAGGGCAAGCACCACTGAAATCACAACAATTAACGGGTTTAACACTTGAGTGGGTTACACCTTGCGATACCCTGTAAATAGCTGTCACAAATGTCATATATATATATATATATATATATATATATATATATATATATATATATTAATTTATATATATATTTATATAAATATATATATATCAGGTATTTAGAACTCAACAAAGAGAATATGATTCTCGTGTCTTAGCTTAGTCTCTTAGATATAGTTTAATAATAAGTTATATAATTGCTACAACTATTTTACAATAGAAACTTTAGTCAGCAAGTCAGTTGCTCCGTCTCGGTCACCCAATTTTCTGCTCACAGGGTGTAAAAAGCATCGGAAAGAAAACTGGTTTCGTACGATTTTTTTCACATTTATTTTGTGGCACAAAGCAAGTTGGTTTCGGTGGCTTCGGATTGAGCACAAAAGCCCCAAAAATGTTAATAATATATCAACTATAGTTTACCTGCATGGAGTTCAAGGCTGTCGTACCTTGGCCAGGGGCAACAGCATCATTCATTTCGCTCTCCGATGTGGGACAGACAATGACGATAAGTCGATAACAGTGTTGATTAACGTCGGCTGCTCGGATGCTCGGCTGCTGCGGGTAATGAGGTAGCTTTTGGTTGTTACTATTGTTAGTGCTAAGTGGTAGTTACTTTTCTTTTTGTTTTTATCTTGCTTTGGCTTAGTTGTTACTTTCGAAATGAAATTGCAGATAATCAGACGTGAGTGAGATGTGAAGTCCAATTGTAGGCGAACTGACACAATGGAAACCTGCCTTTTTTGTGGTTCAGTTATGGTTCGTGGTGTTACCTGGAACTGGAGGCTGCAATTGGGGCCGTTTTATTTCTGTGCTGCTCAAGGTGGGTCTTATTTATTTATTTTGGGTTTGGCTATTGTCAGTTTCTGTTGCCATGAGCTCCATGCGTGGCTTTAATTGTTGAAAAAGTCTTTTAACTCTGCTTAAGCGGATGCAATTTTGACGCCTAATTAATGGTTACGGCAAAGCGTAACTCAACTTATATGCGAACTAAAGCGTTTTAAATGTACTTTTAATTGCTTTTTTATGTTTTTCGCCTAGAAAAGACCTTTTGGTCCAGGCGGAAGAAGAGGTACTGAGGTGACAATCATGGCTATGGCATGGCATGGCATGGCATGGTATGGTATATCAGAGCTCCTTTAACGTAAAGCTTTTTCAATTGTTATTGATATATTTCATTAATGATTTGAAACGTCTTTTAGACAAAAGATTTTTCGTTCAATTTCTGTAAAAACTATATAACTTTGCAGTTTGAGAAACGTTTTACTGGATTTATCTGTAAAAACCTCTACAAGTTACAAGATTTCTATCAACTCAATGCCATATATTAGTTAAGAACTATTGCTGGAAGACACTTCGACAAAGGTTGCCAAAACAGATGATGACACACGAATAACTCATTAGATAATTTATCTTTATATAATTTATGGATTTATGGATATATATCAATACAAAAAAACTGCTTTGAAGCGCAGTAATAACTCTATCATAAACTAGAAACAAATAGATGCTGCCGTAGCTAATTGGTTTTTGTTATTGTTTCCCTGTTGCAGTTGCAAAGAGGCCAAAATGTCAGCCAGCAGCAACAAGTGCCGCACAATGCGGATGATAATGTTGATGGAGCATCTTCACTTTCACTGTGTGTTTCATTTTCTCTCGTTTCACTCTTCACTCTTTGTTTCTTTTAGCACTTTATCTGTTAGTTAAACACTGCCCAACACTGGCTCAAGAGGACCCAAGTCAGTTTATTGCGCAACCTAAGAGTTGACATTGCGACGTTGCTACTTTTAAGTATGATCTTAAGCTAATGCTTTGCGCCACGCACTTGTTTACTTTTGTTGCATATGCAATTTCCGTTAGGTTTCAGTTGATTTGCCGCCAAAGTTTATTGTTTCATCTTTTGTACTCGTTTTGCCGAACGTGTCTTTAGGCCATCAGCTCAGCTCCTCAACTGCGCCCAAGCTGAGCCCAGCTCAAGCTGCTGCCATGAGCAGGCAGCAGTCACAGTCGACGTTGACGTCGACGTCCGAGTCGAATACAGTTAAAACAATACTAACTCAGCTGCGCAGCTGCACCTGTCGGTGTGTGAGTGAGCGTTTGCTTTGTTATAATAATAATATCTCAGATACAATTTGATTGCTGTCTTTGATTGAAGTTTTTGCTCTTTGCATATATTTTTTTATATGGTTGCACGCACGTGCAAATTGCTAGCGGCGAATATACCCTGAACTCAGTTGGATATGTCGGCTATACGGTTTACTTTGTCACAGCTTATTGGCTGAGAATGTAACAATTAAATTAATTTAATTAAATTTTTGGACTAACATATTTCTTAAATTATTATTATATTATTATGAGAAAAATTCATAAATGTTGTTTCATTAATTTATAATTTTTTTGCATTCATAATAAAAATAAAAATAAAAATATCTTAAAAATTTGCATTCGTATCCTCATGCTCTTTAATTAGGTTCAAGGAACACGTGGAATTGAAACGTAGAAATGTATTTGGTTGCTTGATCAGCATATGCGAAATCGAAAAGAGTTACCATAATTGTTATTTGTAATAGAAGTTGTCCAGCTATTATTTATTCCATTAGACAATAAACCACAATAAATTCTGTGTTTTAAGTATATTTCTTAGAGTATACCAGTCTCCAGTCTCCTCTACATTTACATTCTAACAGATCGTTGTTTTCTATGTTTGTCTCTCGGAGGGCGATTGCCGTTAACATTTCAACAAGCGGCGTAAAAGGCACATCGCCAATGTCGCTATTAAAGAAGCAGACGACGAGAAATACAGGGAGAGAAAGAGAGAGTGATATTGAGAAAAAGAGAGCCTAAGGGAATTGCTATTAGAAATTCTGCACGCAGCATGTGATGGGTGGAAGGGAGGGCGGGGCGAGGGAGAGGGAGAGGGAGGCAAGACAATTGCATTTAATTCGAAACACGTGTTTTGCTCGGCACTCTTTATCATTATTTGTTGTCTTTTCGATTCTGCCTTATGCGTTGCCTTCTCGCGGTACATCGTAGTCGGGGGAGAGAGGGAGACAGAGCACCCTCCTGCTCCGGTCATGCGTGCAGACAAGTGCAGCAGCGTTCAGCAAAGCTTGGAGTTTACATTCACACAAGATTATGAATACATATATATGACAGACTCGTATATATGAGTATACATCTACGGATTTGCATGACTTGGCCAAATTGACTCAAGAGCAGAGCCCAAATCAACTGCCAGCACTTATGGGAATTTTGGAACGGGGTTAATTGTTATTGCGAAACAATTTGGAGTTTTAGAAGTGTTAGCCATATCTATATTTCTATATATATATATCTATATATAATATATGCATCTATATCTATATCTATATCTATATTAAATATATGTATTTTATACTATTTACTGTATATGTATTATGTGTTATGCACTATATGCAGCAAATCTCTTGCAATTATAAAGCTGTGTTTAAACCAGATTGTCAATCATTTACAATAATTCTTTCTGCGGGCTTCTCACATTTGTTGTGTTTGGCTGCTTCAGTTGGTAATTTATTAAAACAGACAAACGGTGTTGTTTCAGCGGTGTTGTAACACCAATTTCGTATCAATTATCCTATATTGGAGTATCTGAAAATATTTTTGCAATTGAGTTGAGTGTATTGATCTAAGACTATCGATGGGTAGCATCAAACAAATTAAATTTAATTTACAGTAAGCTAAAGTAAACAGGTAGCTAAAAGTATTTATCTTTCACTTTCAACTCTTCAGCATTCTAAATGGGGATTTAAACGGAAATTGTGTATGCCTAATGCATATATCAATTAAAATATCAACTAATCTAAGCTAAAAGCTTTCAGAATGACTACGAATTTTAAATGTTCTTGTTATTATTAGTTAGTCTAAATAAGAAGTTGTCGAACGAAGTAAAAGTAAATATTTTAAATTAAAGTTTCAAACGTTTTTAATACACATTTTTAATATAAATAAAATTTCTATGATATAATTTGGGAAACCTTAAAATAATTTTTTATTCTACCCTAATCCCATTAAAAATGGAAAATCAGGGTATAATGGTAAAAAGCAGAAGGAGGCGGGGCAGACCCCTTGAAGTATATATATTCTTGATCAGGATGACAAGCCGATTTTTGTTGGAAGAAGAAGTTATTAAACAAAACGTTTGGCCAATTTGCAAAAGCAGATGTCAAGCAGCGCCACGCCCACGCATATTTCCTATTCTTCTCCATTTGAAGAATCGAAATTGCGATTGAATTGTGCTTGAATTGTCAGCAGCTACTTAAGTTGCGATTTGCAATTCCATGCATGAGCCGTGCAGTGACGGTGCAGGTAGCTCATAAGCAAAATTATCGTGTAGTTTGGAGCCAGGTGGCGAACCGGTGTTTTTCTTGTCTTTTTTTTTTGCAGATCAAGAGGTTATGATTGATACAATGCAGTGGTGAAATTCTTCGACCGTTTTAAGTCTAAGTTAAGTTGAGAGAAAAAATAGAGAAAGAGATAAAAAAAGAAAATGAGAGTAAGAGACAAAAAGAGAAAGATAAAAAACAATAGAGAGAAAGTGACAAAGAACAGAAAGAGACAAAAAAGACAAGAAATAGAGAAAGATACAAAAATGAGAAAGAGAAAGAAACAAAAAAGAGGAAGATACAAAAAAAGAAAAAAAAAAACAAAAATAGAAAGAGACAAAAAAGAGAAAAGGACAGAAAAGAGGAAGAGGGTTAGAGGCAATAAAAGAGAACAAGACAAAAAAAAAAGAACAATAAACAAAAAACAAAAAAAGAAATAGGGAAAGAGACAAAAATAAGAGAAAGAGAAAGAGTCAAAAAATAGAAAGAGACAAAAAAAGAGAAAAAAATAAGAGAAAATACCAAAAAAAAGATAAATAGAGAAAAAGACAAAAATAAAAGAAAGAGAAGGGAGACAGAAAAAGAGAAGAAGAAGAATTATTATGACGCCAAACAATCTTTAGTTTGACTTAATTTTTTTAAAATAAAAGGAAACTAAATAAAATTAAATAAAAGTCAATAAACATTTATGTCATAATAAAATCTTAGAAAATTATAATAGAAATAAAAATTAGATTCGCATGTTGTTTATAACTGTTTCATGTTTTAAATATATATACAGTTCAAAAACAAATTATTAATAATAATTATTATAATATTCTCTATTTTAAACTATAAAAAATTAGATTGTATCATTAGATATTATTTTAATACTGAATTAAAAATGTTATTTTATGAATATATTATTTTCAGATAATATTCATTATTAATTTATTCAACATGTTGCATTATTATTAGAACTAGTTTGTAATTTACATTTGCACTGAGAAAAGCTTTTTACATATTGATGACCTTTTTATTATTCCGTTCAGTTGGATTAGACTTAGATCTTAACTAGTAAGTGGACAAGCCAGTATATATAGCTGAAATATATTAAATTTAAGAATTTTGTATTCTAGTATATTCTATTCTATTTCACGTTCATCTGCATATGTATATATATATATATATATATATGTATATATATATATATACACAATATATATATATATATATATTTATATGTATATGATTAGATTAGGATAGATGGTTTGAGAGCACTGCCAGTCTAATCGCACATCTAGAAATTAATTTTAATAACTGTTCGGGATAAATCTGTTATATGACATCTCCCAAAAGTATACAATAAATATTTTATTCGCAAAAAAACAATTAATATATAAAATAAAAATTTATTACAATATAATAGATTATTTTAATTCAATTGCAATTTCGATTCTTGGAATACAAAAGAATACACTTATTTGAATGCATGTGTGCACATGTATAGTAAAAATGCGCGCGCTTGGTGCTGTTTGACATGGAACACATACCGCCATCTATTGAACGTTGATAACACTAACCTTTCAAACGCAGCCAACTTCATGCAATTCAGTTGACAGGTTAAAAACTTACGCGCTCTTGAAGACAGTATATTTTGTGCTTGTATCGTAAAAATACAATGTTACAAAGAGCAAATATTCAATTTTCTTTATATTTGGAGTGAGGCGACGTATGAACTGACGCAAAAAGTGTATGCTGATTATTGTTTAGCTTGCTCAAAAGTTCATAAATGGCTTAAATAATTTAAAAATGGTCGTGAAGATTTAAATGACGATGACACACTATAGGAATGTTGGCTGAAAAATTACCATTTGGACAGTTTTAACTGACGATTTTAGCAAAAGAAATGTCTGTGTCTGAAACTAAGCGTCAATCTGCAGAATGGAAGTCAAAAGATTACGTTTACAGAAGTCCAGAATCAAGACAATGTAGATCACGTTCTACGATTGAAAGGGTATTCTACACAAGAAATGTGTTCCAGAAGGTCGAACTATTAATGGAGAATACTATTTACAAGTTGTACATCGTTTGTGGTCAAGAATTAGTCGTGTTAGACATTAATATCCAGAGGGAAAACAGCTGTTATTGCATGATAATGCACCAAAAAGTTCGTAAACTTTTGATGATAAAAACAGATTTGTGTCTTCGACCACCCTTCGTGTTATCGTGATCTATCACCATGCGACTATTTTATAAACTGCCATGAACTGAGCGATTTACGATGATATTCGAGCCATTAAAGCAGACGTGACACAGGTGTTAAATGGAGACTTTCGAGTAAAAAATAACTTAAAGATAGTACGAAAAGTGTTTTATATTGTTCTAGAGATATTTTTTCGATGGCCACATGAATATTTTGAAAAGTTCTTAAGTCTGGGAGTATTTGTGAATATTGTATGATTCAATATAATTATATTTCTTGCCAACTATTTCTCAATATATCTAGCGTTAATTGTGTGAAATACCAAAGCTGATGGATTGACAACACTAAGAGTAATGTGACAATGTATATTTTAATACATTTGAAAAAAAATACTAAATGAGGTTGAATAAAAATACTAGTATCGGCATAATTTTAATCGATTGTTAGTAATTGTTTTTAGCTTACACCAAAATCTTGAAGCAGTATCGATACTCTTTTGTTAATCTGGCCGCGAGTGCTATATGGGCATTTTAAAACTATTTATATTTCAATTATCTATCGCCTAACTAACTTAACTTTTACCGCCGGAAATGTAATTCTCTAAATAAAAACTACATTGCCGCCCTGCTTAAACTTGTTTTTTACTGTAGCTAAAATAAAAATGTTCCAAAAACGGTATACAAAAGTATTTTTTATTCTATTTTTCTAACTTACTGCGTGGTCACATTGTCTTATCTATTTGTACAACAAAGAAAATAAAATGCGTAGAGGAGTTAGTTCCCCACCTGTTGACTCGGCTTCATACTCTAATTTGGTAAATACAAAAAAATACATATTAAAAATGTTTATACGGTAAACTTTTGCGCTCATATAACCATACGTAGAGTGGACATACGTATGTATGTATATATAACAATCTCACTACCATACTATGTAGGTCCTATAATATTGTCTAAATTGTAATTATAATTAATTTATGGGCTTCTTTTGATATTCACTGCAGGTCGGATTCATTTTCATATTCAATCTTATTGTTGGGACTGGAGCGCTAACTCTGCCAGGAGTTTTTGCCAAAGCAGGATGGTGCCTAAGTTTGGTTGTGATAATACTATTAGCTCTTGTAAGCTATATCACAGTAACATTTGTTATCGAAGCTATGGCTGGCGCGAATGCGATAAAGCACTGGCAAAGTCTTCAGGCTTTACGTTACAGACGCAATTCGAATGAAGACGAGAATGAATTACTTTCGAACACAGAAAGCGAAACGGTTCCCCTGACAATTCATAATGCGGAATTCCATTATTATCAATTAACGCAAAAGTTTGAATTAGGTGAAATGGCCACAATGTTTTTCAATGATTTCGGCCGTACATTATTTTACCTATGCTTTATAATTTACCTGTATGGAGATTTGAGCATATATTCTGCTGCTGTGGCTAGAAGCTTGCGTGACGTATTATGGTAAGCACTTGTAAACCTTTTAAATACAACACAAATTTGTAATTTGTAAGTTGTGGTGTGGTGGGTTATTGCATTTTGTCTAAGTTCTACATTGAAGTTGTAACATATTTCGTCGCATTCCTTCGCTATTAGATAAAAAGCATGCGAAGCAATACCACTGTGAAGCATAATCAAAAGAGGTTGTCAAATGTATCTACATGTATAAGACTCTTTGTCGCTTAGTCTATTATCATATACGATATAAGATGAATATTTAACACTATGAATATATTTTTTTACAGCGAACACGATCATTCAAACAGTTCGGACATCTCGATTTCAGAATCAAGCTCAATGCATCTGCTTGGTGACTTTAAGGGCAACGAGAATCGTGCGTGCTGGAAGGAATATAATTTATCAAGGCTAGTTATGTACAGAATAATCTTGATTGGATTTACAATCATTTTTGGACCACTCGTTATATTTAGCATTCAGAAAACAAAGTATTTACAAATGCTAACTGCCGTTTTTCGATGGTTGGGTAAGATGTAATAAAACACTTGGATCATCTTTCATAATTTAATAATATTTATTTTTTTTCATGTAGCATTCTTTCTAATGATATGCATTGCCATCAAGATGCTCTGTACTGATGGGGCGAAAGGACACCCAGTTGCCGTAAACTTTTACGGCATCCCATCATTGTTTGGCGCATGTGTCTACTCGTTCATGTGTCACCATTCGTTGCCCAGTTTAGTGGCTCCAATTAAAACCAAGTCAATGATTGCCAAAATTCTTTCATACGATTACATTTTAATTTGTACGTTTTACATAGTACTCGCGATTTCAGGTGTTTTTGCGTTTGAGCACATTGAAGACCTTTACACATTGAATTTTCTGCCCTATCGCGATACAACTGATGGTTTCATGTCGTCCTTTTTTATTGGCATCGATTATTTTCTGTCCTTGTTTCCTGTATTTACGTTATCCACTAGTTATCCACTTATTGCTATTACCCTTAAAAACAATCTTCAGACTTTGTTTCTGGATATGTCCCGATATAATTCATATAGCATATTCATACGAGGTCTTTTCCCTCTTTTAGCTGTTCTGCTACCCTTTTGTGTAACATATTTCACTGAAAATCTATCTACCCTAGTGGCATTTACAGGGAGCTATGCTGGAGTTGGCATACAATATGTCATACCTGTTTGCTTGGTCTATTTCTCGCGAGTAACATGCTCCGAACTTCTGGGTAATGGAATTATAAATCAATTTCAAAGTCCATTTCAATCAAACATATGGTTAGCGCTGGTGTTAACTTGGTCAGTATTATCCGTGTTTTTAGTATCTATTAAATTGTTCAGCTAAGAATATGTACACACGCACAACATACAGAAAATAATTCTTAGTATTAATAAGCATCGGCTGTGAAATTTGATTTCAAATTAAAAGATTTTCCTACTTTGATTAACTAATTGAAAATTAGATATCACCAGGACATAGAAATCATATGGAAATCGTTGAAAAACTGTATTTGTTATATAAGCCTTAGCTGGTAATTACATTTTAAAGATTACAAATTTGAATATAGTGTGCATTAAAATGTATATTGCGAGACAAACAAGAACAGCTTGGCAACACTTTTGCCACGAGGCATTCCATTGGTAAATACCGTCATACTTAAAGCAATTTCAATATCTTGTGGTCCCTCGAGAGCTTTTTTTAATATCACATTAACTTGATTGTTGGTTTTTAACGTGCTGGAAATACAAAAATATATTCTTTAATCAAGTTTGTGCTTTATCGTACAGGAAACATACATATTAAAAATAATATAAACTATTTCGATTAAAAACAACTTACGCTATGTTAAGTTACAAAATTATTAACATTTTTCGAATTAACTAATGTGTTTGAATCATTTGAGGATGCATCAAAACTATACACAAATAATTTATTATATTATGCTATTAATATCCATTGTTATAAAGTTTTTACAAATGATTGATAATATCGATTCATTTTATGTATCTTTACGAGTAAATATACTTACTCAAAATAACTGTCTGTTGCTCTTTCGATGTTGGGGGCTGCTTGAACTCTTATAATTTTCAGATCAAAATCAATGTTGTCATACCATATGGGTCCCCGAAGGGTAAAAATGGTTCGACCATCTGGCGGTATCATTAATTTCGACACAAATGTTATAAAATGATAGGTAAATGCGGATGCTTTTGTGTAACATTCTTCACCCTCACAAAAATGACTGCTTTGTCGACATCGGCTGCAAGTATTAAAAAATATATTAATATAATATAATATAATATATATATATATATATAATATAATATATATATATATATATATATATATATATATATATATATATATATATATATATATATATATAAATGTATATATAAGGTAAAATGTTAATTTGACACTCGTACTTCAATTCACTTACTTTTTCTGATCCACATCGTTTATGTAGCCAGTGGGACAATTTATTGTGGTGCATTTAAAGCTTCCTCGAATATTGGTACAAATATCATTCTAACAAAAGAGAAAATATTTTATTAAAAGAAATTAGATGAATACAATAAAAAAACAACTCCTTTTTGCGTTTTTTAATATTTTCCATAGTTTATATTGAGCATTATTAAAAAAATCATATAGAACCCGACATTACGACACCAAGATTCGAACCAAGATTACCTACGCAATGCGTATCTACTCTATCATTTATAATTAATAAACAAAAAACACCTTAGACCTATTTCCAATAGGCTTAAATTTAAAGAATTTGGAGCTGATATCCAAAATATAACAAAAATCCAAATTGTAAAATTATACATAAAAATAAATACAAAATTTTAATGTAATATATAATTTAACTGCTTTTTGATCACGTTTTTAATCGATAACAATAAAACGGAAATAGTTATCGAGTATTTGAAATCAATTTGATAAGCGCGGACACATAAAAATTGTTTCAAGTCTCTAGCTTTTACAGATGCTGAGACTTACGCATTCACACATACAGACAGACCGACTGACAGGGCTCAATCGATTCGGATTGTCGTTCTGATTAAGAATATTTATACTTTATGGGGTCTGACTCGCCTCCTGCTACCTGTTACATACAGTTAAATAGAGCCATTATAACTTGATTTTGCATTTTTTTAAATCAGGGTATAATAAAAAAAATTGTAATAATTTATAAGCTCAATGCTCACGGTAAAACTTGTAATTGCTGTAAGATTAATAATATAGATATTTATATATATATGTATATATTGAATGGATTTGTGTATACTTTATGAAAAGTACTCACCCGACCAGTGCACACATGAGTCTCACTAGTTGTTTCACATTCGTCAATGTCTCGGCAAGTCGTCTTGTCAGAGGCCAAGGTGTAGCCACGTGGGCAGGAACATTGATATGAGCCAGCCGTGTTAATGCAAAAGCTAATCATAGTTTATATTAAAATACAAATATGTTAATATATAAAGTTCTCTTATATATAAATTAAATAGTTCTGTGAGACTTGAATTCAGCTAGCAATGAATTACAATTTACTTAGTTGTAGATGTTCCATAAAGTTAAGAATGGAAAGAGTTAATTCGGAAAGATCGCGCGATATCAGTTATATAAGTTATTAAGTTATATGATTCAATAAATCTCTAATGTGCTAAGGTTAAAAGAAAGTAAATTACCCCATGCACAGTTTGTAATCCTTATGTACTTCGCATTCATCAATATCGTTGCAGGTGCGATTATCGGGGCTGAGTTCATATCCCTGGTTGCAGGTGCAGCGATAGCCACCCCAGAAGTTAACACACTTTTGCTGGCAAAGGCCCGGTATGGTCTGACACTCATCGACATCGAAGCATTGGCCATGGGCATACCAGCTCTCCTGATCCATACTATTTGCGTTGCCACTGAGCGGCTTCTTTTGAAAGCCCGGCTTGCACTCGCAGTAATATGAGCCAATTGTATTGTAGCAGTTCGCATTCGATGAGCACACGGGAGCGTCCTGTGCACACTCGTCAATATCCTCGCAGCTGTTGACACTATCCGACAGACGAATCACCTGATGTCCAGTTGGACATGCACAAATGTAGCCACCATTCCTATTTCGACAAATCTGCTTTTCGCCACAGTTGTGATCTCCTGTCTCGCACTCATTGATGTCTGTGAAATATGTGTAAGATTCTTATTTGTAGTCGGTCGAAACCTAATGAAAAATATCATCGACTTCCACGGTTCAAACTAAGGCCTTTCAACTTGATAAGATAAGGGTACACACAAACGTATAATACGGACACGCGAACAGACCGACAATTTTCCAACTGAATTATTATTAGGAATTAGGTCAGTTGTCCACTGTATTACAATATTTTTTTCTTTGACTTTTGGTGACTTTTGTTTTTGAAATGTGGAAGAAACACTCGTGTCGATACAAACCAATGCAAGATGTTCCATCGGGAGTTGATCTAAATCCTGCAGGGCATTGCATAAGATTCTCACAGCGGTACGAGCCATTTGTGTTAGTACAACGTTCATGGCTTCTGCACGGCTTGTACTCTATGCACTCGTTTATATCTGGTAAATAAATATACAACAATATTAAAATATTTATCTAGAATTAAGATAATTATCTATGGACAGAAAGCTATACGTGCCAAAAGCTGTCCGTGAAGTCTAATTAAAGACCATGGAGCCAATGCGGAAAGATAAAGCTGTTTGGAAAAGTTTCTTTGACTTTGGATGCAGGATCATTGAGGATAGTTTTCAGTTAGAGCACATACATTTATTTAAAATGCGTGGATTCCATTGTATTCGAAGAATCGAATTGTGATATTCGGGATATCTCCTAGTCAGGCACATCCGACTCGAGCTTTGTTTGCTGTATAATTTTAATTTCAACCAAATGAATTGACTAAATAACTATATTATTTGCCAGCCAATTTCATTCGTTGATAGCCAAAAATGACTACATAATTATACGAAATGGGAACAGTCAAATTATAAGTATTATTAGATATTGAATGTGAGAAAACTGCATATGTTGCACTTAGACTAATCTTAGAATATGTCTAACAGCTGACGTGATAAGAAGGTTTCATAAGAAGTCTCAGATTGCAGTCTCCAAGCTTTGTTGTGTTGTACTAATCGATCGCTTAATAAACATTTTGTTAGATAAATTGTATTTAGTATTTACCGACGCAGGCTCCAAGATTATTTCTGTGAAAACCTTCTGTGCAGGGCTTTTGAGACATATTCGATCCATAGTTAGTGGAATAACTAGCAGCATAATTCAAGCGACTGTGAGCCTGATTTGACACATAATGTGGATTGTCTTCCCTGAATCTGTCAGGTGCTGGCGATGGGGTTGTACTAGTTGTCGTTGTTGATGTAGTAGTAGTAGTTGTTGTTGTTGTTGTTATTTTCCTATGGCACCGGAACGATCCTTTAGTATTGTAACAGTCGTAATTCAGTGGACAATTGTGTGTATTAAGCGCACACTCATCATCATCTTAGAATTCACAGTTAGATCATAGAAACATAAACAAAAAATATGTTTTTAATAAGCTGTAAATGATGATGGAAATGTAGTACTTTTACTTAAATTAATGTTCTTGATTAGATCATGTGAATTCTATATATTCTTTAAGTAAATATACATTGAAGTAATTTATAGTAATATTACCAAAGAACATATATATTCTAAATTACAATATTGGCCTTAGAAAAAGTGAAATTGGATTTGGACTGTCGCCGGACTGCAACTTTCCTTATTCTGTGTAAATATTTTAGCTTACCATCACAATTTCCAGTTCCAGCGTTCAATGTGTATCCCGTGCCGCAAGATGTCCAACGCTATAAAATTTGTTTGATTTATAGATATAAATAATTTGGAATTTCAAGGTGTAAATAGGCAAATAGAAGTACCGTGCAAATGTATGAACCGATGGTGTTATCACATCTTTGAGTTGGCAGGCAGTTGTGATTGTTAATTGAGCACTCATTTATATCTACAGGAAGTGTGCACACAGACATCATTCGTTAGTTATTACCCAGTCATGTGCTTCAATACATACATATATAATATATATATTATATATATATTATATTTGTGTATGTATGTGTATCATTTTGAGGGAAAAGCTCATCAGATACTCACCCACGCATTTGTTTTGTGTTACATCCAAGCTAAAGCCGGGCAGGCAGGTGCAATGATAACTGCCTACTGTATTTTTGCACTCCTGGCGCATATCGCTCCTGCAGGAGTTGGTCACGTTGTGCTCACACTCATCAATATCAACGCAGCTGCCAGCTTTTAAGTGAAAGCCAGTGCCACAGGTTTCACTCTCAATGAGATTACAGTCGTAACCGCCTGGATAATTGGAGCATTTATATCCTTTCTCACATGGCGACTGGATACACTCATCCTCATCTATTCGAAATGTTGTAAGAGTCAATAGTAAAATGAAACCAGGTAAGAGTACTCTAGTCGAGACTACCCGACTAGGAGACATCCTTGATACATGAAAAAATGAAAAGTCTTTAGAACAAACATAGCTAGATCGACTTAGCTCGTCGAACTGATCAAGATGATATATAATTTATGGGCTGTCTCAGGCCTCCTTCTGCCTGTTACATGATTTTTCACAAAGGGTTCAGGTATAAAAAAGTAAGTCTTGAAGACGAAAAGTTTTGCCTTGGAGAAAAAGCACATTTTGATGACCCAATAATTTCTTGAAAGTTAACACTTAAATTATTCAGGAACGCAAATTTTTGTCATAGAGTTTTGGAACTTGATGCATGTGTGTATAGAAGTGAGATAAAAATGTTGAAGCTGCAACCCGGCACGTGGCTTGAGGAAGCTGCTAGTCAACACCCCCGATTAGACCATTGTTAATTGCTTATTTCATTTGGGCTGTGTACCCATTTCTAGTGAGGTTGGGCTTCTAGAATTACTAGAGTACTTAGATATATTTGCCTACCTTCGCATTCATCTGACTTCACATTGTAGAGATAGCCCGCTGGGCAACTCTTTGCCTTCACATTGAGACAGTGATATCCGCCGATTGTATTGTGGCAGTATTGCGTTGCCTTGCACTCGTGCAGTTGCTCTTGGCACTCATCGATGTCCGTACATTTCCCTTGTTTACCATCCAAAATGTAGCCGCTGGGACAAATGTCGCTTTTTTCCTCATAACAGGTAACATTATTATCGTTCAGCTTATAACCTGGATTACAGCTGCATCTGTACGCATCGTATGTATTAATACAGACTTGCTCACACAGATTGGGAATTTTTCCACAAATATCATCTGTTAGAAACATATAGAAATACTTGCATGTCATATATCAAACACTTATTATTCCAAAGGTACTCACCATCACCGGTTAGGATAATTGTTCCATCGACGTTTTCGCGACTTTCGACTATATCCTCTTCTGGATCCTCATGATCAATATTAAAGTCTAGTTTATTGCTCTTCTCAGAATCCGGCTCCGAAGGAGGGTTTGAGAAGCCGTCATCGGAGCAACATAACTGATACGAATCAATATTCAAAAGAAATGAAAACAATGGATCCCTACACTTTTGTTGGCTAGCCTTAACAGCCAAACCAACTGACAAGACCATCAAAAAATAATGATTGTTAGACATATGTTACATATGGGCTTATAATCTATGCACGAATACCTTGACAAGCTCGGCAGCAATTTGTATAGGATGTTGAAGTCAAATTATGACCGTTATTACACGAAGAACCCTCCAAAGCAGCCAGGCGACCTAGTTCACAGTTCTGGCGATCCAATTCCCTTGAACAGCAAACGCCAAATGTTGAGGAGCACAAGCCAAGCCAAAGCTTCGATATATTTGCCACAGCCGACTCCATTTTATCGCAACCATTTGTGGTACGAGCATTACGCAAGCCACTTATACAACATTTGCGAATGTAGTCTGCGATTTGTTCTACAAAATATATAATATTTTGAATATCTTGAATAGTTAGGATTTTCGATATCTTGCCATAATAAAATACATTTAAAAAGATCCGATTTTTGATATCTTTCATTGATATGAACATTTCACTGGCCACGATTTAATTCACGTTCTCTCAGCATTTTCTCTTTTTCATTTCAGACCACGTTTCTTGTATTCTTTTTCTCTTTTCTGCTTAATCATTATTTTTATTTATTCTCTCTTTTCCTCAGTACACATTTTCATTTCTAGTGATGTCTGCTCCATCTTCTGTTTTCATTTATTTTGTTTTCCTTTCTCTTGTCTTTGCAATTTGTCTTCCCCTTGTCTTTTTAATTGTTTTACTTTTCTCCATTGGTACAATTGATTTACACCTACATAAGTAGTCTGTTCATAAATTATATAAGCACACAAGTTAGGGTTGCCTGTGTCTTCTTACTGGCGACGTCTACGGCTTATCTTACCGACAAACAAACACTGGCGAGATATCAAGAATCTCAATTCGTATGCTCTTTATATAATATATTACATATAATATATATAATACTATGTACATGTGTACATTTAAAAAAGAAAAACTATTTTATTACAAACAAATCTCATAAAAGGCCACATAAATGTTCTAATTAAATATTTAAGATCTTTGAATATATCAATTAAAAATAAATAAATAAATCCACATTTCTTACAGCATCTTCAAAATGGGATTATTTATTTATTTAAAAATTTCCATTATGAAACGGGAAATACTAGACTTTTTTGTGTATTCAGAAAAGTATTTTACAGATCTAAAAAACCATTGACTTACCGTCTGCTAATGCACTATCCAAATGACCTATGGTGAGGCAAAATAATACGCCAATTAACTTAATCGCACGCATATCGAATATTATAAATATAATATCAATTTCAGATATTCTGCGATCTTTGATACAAGGCTATGTACGATGTAATGCGCGTAATAAGACTGTTCTTCTCAACTGACTAAATCGGTTAAGTCGCGTGGGTCGCATATGAATAAGTTGAATGCTTGTTTGTCGTGCAAGGCGTGGGACAAACACAGAGATAAAGATACTGATACAAGTGCTGTATCTCTCAAAGCGAGGCTACTTCTCCATTCCCGTAGATAAAATGCTATGAATATATGTATTTATTCAGTTTCTGCTGCCAGGTTTATGTACATTTGAATACCCTAAGTGAGCTAAAATCAAATTCTTCCATCGTCTTTTAATATTTTTTAAGAAATTTCGATCTTCTGTCTACTTATTATTAAAAGCAATTACTTGCTGATACGACTTAAACAAAGACCAACTTCCCAAGAAAGGTAAAAAAAAAATAGAATTATAAACTCATTTAATTATATACTAATTTAATATTAAATTTAATATATTACATCTATTTGAAAAGTGTTAAATGTAATTTCAACTTCTCATTTTACTCTAATGAAAAGATTAATTCGTAATAATTTCATTTTCGAATGGCTTGCGAAATTATCTACTGAACTTGGTATATATTTGATTTTTTCCTTTTCTCATAAGAACAATATGAAAGCTCGTATATATTCAAGTGTTAAAAAGCAACAGCTTCTGCACCAGTCATGTAGGGTATCATGATTTTATCAGTAGATTTAGTTTCTACGTTCGCTGAGATATACATTATATATATACAGATATACTTGTAGTTATGCTGCGGAAGGTTACACAGGCAAAGAATATTTTTACACCCTGATCCCATTAAAAATGGGAAATCAGAGTATAATGGTTTTGTGCAAATGTATGTAACAGGCAGAAGGAGGCGTGGCAGACCCCATAAAGTATATATATTCTTGATCAGGACGACAAGCCGAGTCGATTGAGCCCTCTCCGTCTGTCCGTATGTGTGAACGCGTCGATCTCAGCATCTATAAGAGCTATAGACTTGTAGATAGTTTTTTGTAGGTCCGTGTATAGCCCAAGCATATCGAGTTTGTTTCAAATATTCGATAACTATTCGCATTTAATTGTTATCGAATAAAAACATGATTGAAATGCAGTTAATAAATTATATCTCGGACGTCTTAAGTATTTAGTCTTATGTATATTTTATGCAATTTTGATTTTTGTTGGATTTTTGATACCGGCTCCAAATTCCCCCAAATTCTTAAAATTTAAGTTCAGTTGGAACTAGGGTCACTGTGTGACGGCGTTTGCATCTCTACCAAGCCAAGTGTGCGTGTGCGTATTTGAAGAATAGAAATTGCGATTGAATACTTCTTGAATTATCAGCTGCTACTCAACTTCAAATTTGCAACACTTCTTGCAAGAGGTGCACTGGCTGTGTTGGTAGGGGCGGCGCTCGTAAGCAGCTAGTCCCAGGGTTCGAGACCGTTGGAGATTTGTTATTGTTTTATTTTTTTAAATTATGGAGTGGCGATGTTGGTAGAGTTGGTGCACGGTGCTCAAACATTCCGGGTTCGAATCCTGGACTCGTAATGTCGTTTTTTATTTGTTTTTATTTTTTTGAATACTCTATACAAACTACGGACAATATTAAAAAGCGCTGATAGGACTGGGACCAGGGTATCTCCTAGTTGGGCACCCCGAATAGAGCTTTCTTGCTTGTTATATATGTTTCAGATTTGCTTCTGATGACTCTATGGTTTTCAGCAACCAGTCATGGTAATATGCAACATTGGAGTAGACTCCTGGGTATTTCGGATCAGCACAGGCAACGCCCCAAGAGACAATGCCAACAAGTTGATCCTCAGATACCAGGGGTCCGCCAGAATCTCCCTGGCATGCATCTTTCGAATCTCCGAAGGCGCAGATCATACCTTTCAAAAGTAACGGACCCATATGGGACTTTTTACATTGCTCATAACCCACAATTTTCAGATCCACACCATTCAAATGGGCTGGGTTTTCATATCCCGTATAGCCATAGCCTGACACATAAGCAGGTGCTTCATTTGGGGGACTCTGTGTCGCCAAGCGAATCGGTTGCACTAAAGTTCCCAGCTCAAGTGGTTCAGCCAGCCAAACTACAGCGATGTCGTTCCCCAAGGTTTTCCAAGAGAAGTGTTCGTGGACCCGAAAGGAATCCACCGCCATTACCTGGCCACCCTCATATGCGTTTGAAGAACCTGCTCGTACTGAAAAATGTACTATTTTATCATTAATACAATGGGCTGCAGTTATGACGATATCTGCGCTGTAAATGGAGCCACCACAATGAGGACGGTCGAGTTTCAACAACGCAACTTGCCAGGGCACCGCTGATATGTCAATTTCTTGTCCATTTACAATTCGCGATCCAACCCTTTTCGAAAACAGTTCCCGAGCACTCAGGAGCGAAGCCGTCGTGAGCAGCAGGGCTAGTTGTGCCAAGTACATCGCCATGTTGTGGTAAGTTGAAGTAGAAAACTTACGGTTTTATAGCAACATTGCAGGGCGTTATCGGAAATTACCTTTCATAATCAGAAAAACTTTATTAGAACCCTCTACTAGTTTGGTAGATATAATTTAATTTATGTATATTTTGTTTATCAATATTTGTTAATTAGGAAGTCTCTGCTCTGAGAATATTTGCAGAAAGTTGTCATTGATAAGTTCATTTGTGGTTTGCAGTTGTTGAAGAATATACTGCGATAATTTAACAATGGAGTGGTGTTAGCTAAATACCTCGATACTAACTCGAGTGTTGTATTACACTTAAGAAGTCAAAAAAAAAAACCGAGGAAAAAACCGATTTGTACTATTACATATGCCTCTTATAAAACACATCGATTAAATAGTAATTGGCTTACATGCTTTTCTTCTCGATGTCAACAAGTTGGGAATAGTCTTCTGAGAAATACCAAAACTCGTCCATCATATCTAATATGAGTTTCTATTTATTTTGGAACGAATGGTGAGATAATCCGATCATGGAACATAAATCGAATTAGTCTCAAGCTCTCATAGTTAATAATAATAATAGTTAAGAATAATTCACCATTAGATACCATATACAAACTACGGAAAATATTAAAAAACACTGATAGGGCTGGGATCAGGGTATCTCCTAGTCGGGCAGCCCGCCTAGAGCTTTCTTGCTTGTTTTAAATGCGCTTACCAAGTATCACCACCTACTTAGCGAAAGGAAAGTTGATAAGTATATAGAGACTTTTAATGCAATTGAAATGCTCGCAGACATCAAGCTTGTTTCAAATAATCGATAAATGTTAACGATTGAGTGTAATGGATCCATAACGTTATTGAACTTCTGTTATTAAATTCAGTTAGAGATAGACTGTTCAAATTTTGCGTTTAATTTTATTTATATTTTATATAAATGTTGATCATATTTATATTTTGGATACCAATAGTTGCCACAGACTGAATATATACTGAATAGACTGAGTGTTTACACGTGTAACTACGTGTGATTTGTGTATGATGCGGGGGCTGCGGGTATCCCCTAATTGGGCACCGTCAACTAGAACTTTCTTACTTGTATTTTAAATATTTGGTAATGCTATCCAAACTACTTGTTCTGCTTTTCAGTAAATTAAACAGAAATTAATTTATTTAATAAGAACCTCCATTATATATATATTATATATATTTATATGATATGATGATATATATATTTATATATATTATATATATTTATATGATTTGTGTATGATGCGGGGGCTGCGGGTATCCCCTAATTTAATAAGAACCTCCATTATATATATTATATATCCATGCGCACCGCGGCTGATCAACTCGTAAAAAACTATGTGTTTCAACGCTTTTGAGCTAAACTAGCAACATTGTAGGGTGATCACTTCCCATACAGATATACCTATAAGAATCCGAACCTTTTGAACTCTGCTGGTGGCTTATTTATCTTAGTTTCTCAGGAATTATATCTTGGAATTATATAAAATTCATCGTCTCTTTCTTCAATTCAATCAGTTTCCGAAGTAAATTTATTTAACTTTTTATTTAATTTTTTTGTTTATTCATTAAATTTTTCTGAATACTTAATATTTATTATTAATTAATAACACTGGCCCTCTTCTATGGAGACAACAGTGAACTTCTCTTTCCTGGCTGATTCGAACATGGGATTACATATTGTTGACGCAATGATGCCATCGACATCGGCTCTTAAAATACGAAAATTGATATCGCTATAGTCGAGTTGACTGTACAAGTAAATTGGTAAACGATTGCTGATGACCCAAACGCCTTGCCTCTGCTCTTGATCAATTTTTAAGTCGTTAGGAAATTGAATCAACGTTTCATTTCCTGAATTCTTAAGAAGAGTACCCAAATTGGATCTTTTATATGGTTTGGACGTGTCCCAACAACCAACATTATCTCGATGTACTTGGGTAAAGAACATAACGCCGTTTCGAGCGATGCCAGAAGTGGAGGATTGGCCATTTAAGCCCCGATCACCAATCGAAATAAATAACTTGGATGTATCCACAGTGCCGTTAGTCCAAAGGGATTCATCCAGTAATAGATCTGTCGACACCATGAATTCCTGATAAGCAAAAGCATACGTGAATTAAATATCAAAAATGAACTAGGTGAACTACAACTACTTGCCTTATAGCTTGCCATGGGATGAAAGTATAACACTCGATCCGAGCTTCTGGGTCCATTCGATAGACTCATGCCGAATACCCCGTCCAACCATTGAAAGTTTAAGCCGTAGACATTGAAATCCGATGCCAAGGGGTTGGGTGAAAAATTATAGTTTGTCACACGCCAGCTCCGGTTCTTTAGTAAGCTATAGACAACAATGCCAAATCTCCAGACGTCTGTAACAAACACGTGGGCATCCGAGCAATCATTATTCCGAATATCTACGGCAATATTTGAGTGCAACGAGTCCTGTTTAATCTGTGATTCGGGCAGTTGATAGCGGACGAGCATCTCATCGCTGCTCAAATCGAAGGCCACAATTTTGGGTGGACAGATCTGATTTAATTTAACCGTAGCATTCACAATTCCAGAATCAATAGCCCACAACCGATTGCATTGGACATCGACTGCGGTGCGATAAACGGATATCAACTTGGAGCAGTCCGCATTGTAGGGGCTGCTGTGTGCCTGCCATGATGGATAGGGCTTTACCGGTGGACTTATCTCCTTTGTTGGATATGTGACGGTGACTAAGCTAGCCGGAACACCATCCTTCCAGCGCGGTGTTGTTATAAAAAGCCGATTACCATATACATCAATGCCTAATGGTAAATTATTCTTCGGGATAAAATCGCTAGATGGAAAAATATTTATACACATAAATATATTAATATGTATATAAATATCATGTTTAGTTGTGAATGCTATAACTAAACTCAAATAACTAACTCAACTGATTGAGCTAGAAATCTGAAAATACTCGTGGATATTGCTTGATTATGCAATATTAAGACAATGGATACTCACTGATACTGGTTACTTACAAGCCTAGTTCAATTATAGTAAATACGGAAAATTAATCTAACTAAATGTTTTTGAAGATTTATCAGTCAGTTTCTGTTCTCTAATGAACTGAATATGCATTCTTAACGTGTTCATTCGTTATTGAGGTGTAGACAAAATCAATTTAATGCTCATATGTGTGTATGTATAAATATATATATATATATATTGAAGCGGAAGTCCGAAACATTGTTTGATTGGTTTATTACCCATTTTTGATCGCCAGCTGTCTTTCAACAAACGTTGGATATTCAAAATCCATATATTTCCACTCATTTATAATTTGAAACAAATTACTATCCCGTTTAGCATCTGGCATTGGTGGATTTTGCAGCTTAAAATGCGTGCTTAGGAGACTTTGATCCGAGTTTGCAGCATTGACACCAATCGAATTGTATCGAAGGCCAACGATCGAAAGTAAAGTAATAATTGTAAAATAACTCGATTTCATAACATATATACGAAACTGGTTAGCTGAGTACAAACACATAATATGAATATGTAGTGTTAGATGTATGAACCGATTTTCGTTTTCTGCTGCAATGCTGCAATGCCTCCACTGCAACCAATCTCTCTCACGCACTAAAAACAACTGAAACGAAGTGAATGTCTTTTTGCTGTTAAATACTACAAGCTTGGCGTGGCCATGTGTACTTGTTGCTTCAAATACTTCCCAAGTCTCTACAGACAATGACGATAAGTCGATAACAGTGTTGATTAACGTCGACTGCTGCGGGTAATGAGGTAGCTTTTGGTTGTTACTATTGTTAATGCTAAGTGGTAGTTACTTTTCTTTTTGTTTTTATCTTGCTTTGGCTTAGTTGTTACTCTCAAAATGAAATTGCAGATAATTAGACGTGAGTGAGATGTGAAGTCCAATTGTAGGCGAACTGACACAATGAAAACCTGCCTTTTTTGTGGTTCACTTATGGTTCGTGGTGTTACCTGGAACTGGAGGCTGCAATGGGGGCCTTTTCTATTTCTGTGCTGCTCAAGGTGAGTCTTATTTATTTATTTTGGTTTTGGTTACTGGCAGTTTCTGTCGCCATTGTTAAAAGATTCTAATTCTAGCTTTTTCAGCTATTATTGATATATTTCATTAATGATTTGAAAAGTGTGACCTTCTTTGGACAAACGGTTTTTCCTTTACTCCTATAAAAACTATTTAACTTTGTAGTCTAAGAGACATTTTAATTGATTTATCTGAAAACATCTACAAGTTACAAAATCTCTATCAACTCAATTAGACATATTAGTTAAGAACTATTGCTGGAAGATACTTCGACAAAGGTAGTCAAAATAGATCTATGACACACCAATAAGTCATTTATCATTATATAATTTATGGATATATACCAATACATAAAACGACTTTGAAGTGCAGTAATAACTCTATCTTCTATTTGCTTACAAAAATAAGACAAAGAATTTAAATTTCCAGCTTATAAACAAGAAACAAATAGATGCTGCCGTAGCTAATTGGTTTTTGTTATTGTTTCCCTGTTGCAGTTGCAAAGAGGCCAAAATGTCAGCCAGCAGCAACAAGTGCCGCACAATGCGGATGATAATGTTGATGGAGCATCTTCACTTTCACTGTGTGTTTCATTTTCTCTCGTTTCACTCTTCACTCTTCACTCTTTGTTTCTTTTAGCACTTTATATGTTAGTTAAACACTGCCCAACACTGGCTCAAGAGGACCCAAGTCAGTTTATTGCGCAACCTAAGAGTTGACATTGCGACGTTGCTACTTTTAAGTAAGATTTTAAGCTAATGCTTTGCGCCACGCACTTGTTTACTTTTGTTGCATATGCAATTTCCGTTAGGTTTCAGTTGATTTGCCGCCAAAGTTTATTGTTTCATCTTTTGTACTCGTTTTGCCGAACGTGTCTTTAGGCCATCAGCTCAGCTCCTCAACTGCGCCCAAGCTGAGCCGTTGCCCCAGCTCAAGCTGCTGCCATGAGCAGGCAGCAGTCACAGTCGACGTCGACGTCTCAGCTGCGCAGCTGCACCTGTCGGTGTGTGAGTGAGCGTTTGCTTTGTTATAATAATAATATCTCAGATACAATTTGATTGAAGTTTTTGCTGTTTGCATATATTTTTTATATGGTTGCACGCACGTGCAAATTGCTAGCGGCGAATATACCCTGAACTCAGTTGGATATGTCGGCTATACGGTTTACTTTGTCACAGCTGATTGGCTGAGAATGTAACAATTAAATTAATGTAATTAAATTTTTAGGCTAACATATTTCTTAAATTATTATTATATTATTTTGAGAAAAATTCATAAATGTTGTTTCATTAATTTATAATTTTTTTTAATTTTGCATTCAAATTAAAAATAAAAATAGAAATATATTAAAACTTTGCATTCGTATCCTCATGCTCTTTAATTTGGTTCAAGGAACACGTGGAATTGAAACGTAGAAATGTATTTGGTTGCTTGATCAGCATATGCGAAATCGAAAAGAGTTACCATAACTGTCATTTGTAATAGGAGTTGTACAGCTATTTATTATCTATCCCATTAGACAATAAACCACAATAAATTCTGTGCTTTAAGTATATTTCTTAGAGTATACCAGTCTCCAGTCTCCAGTCTCCTCTACATTTACATTCTAACAGATCGTTGTTTTCTATGTTTGTCTCTCGGAGGGCGATTGCCGTTAACATTTCAACAAGCGGCGTAAAAGGCACATCGCCAATGTCGCTATTAAAGAAGCAGACGACGAGAAATACAGGGAGAGAAAGAGAGAGTGATATTGAGAAAAAGAGAGCCAAGGAATTGCTATTAGAAATTCTGCACGCAGCATGTGAAGGGTGGAAAGGAGGGCGGGGCGAGGGAGAGGGAGAGGCAAGACAATTGCATTTAATTCGAAACACGTGTTTTACTCGGCACTCTTTATCATTATTTGTTGTCTTTTCGATTCTGCCTTATGCGTTGCCTTCTCGCGGTACATCGTAGTCGGGGGAGAGAGGGAGACAGAGCACCCTCCTGCTCCGGTCATGCGTGCAGACAAGTGCAGCAGCGTTCAGCAAAGCTTGGAGTTTACATTCACACAAGATTATGAATACATATATATGACAGACTCGTATATATGAGTATACATCTACGGATTTGCATGACTTGGCCAAATTGACTCAAGAGCAGAGCCCATATCAACTACCAGCACTTATGGGAATTTCGGAACGGGGTTAATTGTTATTGCGAAACAATTTAGAGTTTTTGAAGTGTTAGCTATATCTATATTTCTATATATATATATATCTATACATAATATATGCATCTATATCTATATCTATATCTATATCTATATCTATATCTATATCTATATCTATAAATATATCTATATTAAATATATGTATTTTATACTATTTACTATATATGTATCAATGTGCTGTGCACTATATGCAGCAAATCTCTTGCAATTATAAAGCTGTGTTTAAACCAGATTGTCAATCATTTACATTAATTCTTTCTGCGGGCTTCTCACATTTGTTGTGTTTGGCTGCTTCAGTTGGTAATTTATTAAAACAGACAAACGGTGTTGTTTTAGCGGTGTTGTAACATCAATTTCGTATCAATTATCCTATATTGGAGTATCTGAAAATATTTTTGCAATTGAGTTGAGTGTATTGATCTAAGACTATCGATGGGTAGCATCAAACAAATTAAATTTAATTTACAGTAAGCTAAAGTAAACAGGTAGCTAAAAGTATTTGTCTTTCACTTCGCCGGCAACTCTTTAGCATTCTTAATGGGGATTTAAAAGGAAATTATTTGCATTTTCTTTAGGAAAGGCATTTGAATATGACTACAAATTTGAAATGTTCTTATTATTATTAGATATTTAGATTAACGTGAAGACGTTGTCGAACGAAGGGAAAATAAATATTTTAGCTTAAAGCTTTACATTTCTTTTTAACAATAATAATATACAAAAATAATAAAAAAAAAATTTATGGTTTTCTGATATAATTGAAGAAAGTTTAAAATTATGTTTTAATATTTTAATGCTTACGAGCTTACTAGAATAATTAATAATTACTAGAATAATTAATGAATAATAATGTTTAAAAATGTAAAATATAAAGTTTTTCTTTCTTCTCAACAATCGAGCCCATCGAACATATACCTGCTCCTGTATTGGCATCATCTTTCAACAACAACTTTCAATGGCAGCTCATGCATGGGCACTAAGAATTTTTATGGCTATGCCAATCAACAGTACCCCGACCATGTAGTATCTGTATATACATAATACCATGTAGAAACCCATATACCACAAATATAACAAGGCAGCAGCGAAATGCCCGACATTCAATGGACTTTTTCACACATTGCCGGGACATAAAAGTGTCTGTCCGTGCAAAAAATAAATGCAGTTGCCTACATACAAGCGCATATATATATGATCTGATATATATATGTATGTGTGAATATGCCTGTTAATATACGACTGTATCGTCGGAGTCAAGCAGCACCCTTAGTCTTAGCAGCCCCTCCTGCCCTCGCCTCTTTGCCAGACTTGAGTGAAATATATTTTCTGTTGTTGTTGTTGTTGTTGCTGCTGCATTTTGTCAAGTGGATTCTTGGTCTGAGATCATTAAAATAACATCGTTAGTGCGCTTATAATGAAGTACTAAACAGCAAATCCCAAAAGAACAGTAGATGATGGATTGGTAGAAGGTTAAATACTCTTTTGTGATGAGGGCTTGGGCACAATCTCATTTATGGAAGCGCTAATAGAAATAAAACGAAATAAATTTACAATCAATAACTGAGTTTTCCATAGAGCCCAATTGAAGGTTCTTGTGATATGATATAATGATTTATTTGAACTGACTGTTCTTGAATGAATAGAGCCTGTGATAGAAGTTTATTTAAATATAATCAGTTCGAATCTCACATTTACGTTGAGCAACTATGTGTTAGCTCGACTACTGCTGATCTGGAATATATATTATGACATAGGCAGGGAACTTCTTCCAAAGTATATGACATAGTTATACTACCCTTTCTCTACATGCAACTGAAATTCAAACTGAATGTTGTCAAGTGGCTGCTGGGTGATGTTTTATGTCTCCGCGCTTGGCACATGATTAGTTTTAGAGACCCATTGACGCCGTAGAGCTCGGTTCCAGGCCAGCGCCAAAAAGAAATGTATATATATCTATATATATGTATATAACTGTAATACGAATTCAATTGTATTTGAGAGTCTTATATTACGACAGCGGCAGCACGAATTGATAGATGCGACCGTGAAAAAGCGTGGCGTGGAAAACGCGCATCAGTGTCCATCAGCAACTACAGCTGAAGCTATATATTATATATAAACATATATTTATAAATATATATATATATACATATGTGTGTGGGTATGTGTGTTAGTAAGATTGGCCTTTGGGGATGCTCCCGCGCTGTCAGAAATTAATCTTTTTGGGCAGCCGCCAGATGTTGCCTGCTTGCGGTTTGCCTTGCTGGCGCAAAGTGTCAAGCGTTTACATCAAATGATGCAGCGGACACTGTTCCCAGAACCCCCACAGACCACATAATGAAGGAGCAGATGATCAAGAAGAAGACGAGCAGCG